GCTAGTAATTTAGCCAATGCATATTATCTTGGTGGTAGTTAACATTAGTTAGCTTTGAATTTGTGTGGACCCTCAGCGGGCATGAGTTGACTGTCAAAGTAGCTAACAAGATATGGAAACCAGCCGCTTCCTCACACAACGTAATTTTAAAAGTCAAGATTAGCAAGCTAGCATCGAAACATACGTAGCCTAGGAAAGTTGGAAAATGTTTGAACCATCTGAACGGGAGTTGACAGACTGGCTAGCATGCTAGCTACACTCAGTGTCAGTTCAGCGTTGAATGACCCACGCCCCTTCACTGTCCCCGCTTTACCTCCTTTACAGGGGGTCCTGTGTTGGCTGTGCTGGGCACGATACCCCTCAATCACCTCCCATTCGCCGTTGTCTCGCTTGATGGGGAACGACACACTCAGTATATGGTTGCAGGGCTTGATAATCTTGAGGATTCCACGTACGCGGTGTCTCTTCTGCACTGGCGTCTCCTTGTTTTTGAGGTCCTCCACCAGTTTATCCTCAACGATATTTGCACCGCGGTCAAAGAATCCCTCCACCATTTTAAAGAAGTTGGGATCATCTGTATCTTTCTCTCCTCCGACCTCGCTGTAGTGGCACACCCTCATCAACGACGCGGTAACTGGAAGAGCCGACTCGACACATCCCGAGGCCAGAGCACTGTTTGCACCACGAGTAAGTAATTCTCCGAAATATCTGTACATTTTTAACAGAGGTAGTAACGAATGAAATTCAAAGAAAAGTGAGGGGTTAGACAATGAAATGGTCCGGGGGAAAACCAAAACTTAAAACAAGACAACGGCTTGTCCTGTCCCGTTTCGCATTGATCTGACAGCAGTCACGCGTCCCTTTTCTTGTTTTAATGCAGACGCGTTTGTGTAGATTCCTACCTCACTGGGGAGGGTTCCACTTGAACGCGCATGCAAAGTAATGCGCGCCTCCGCAACAAATAGTTGCGCTCCCTGGGCGTGTTCAGCAGGACGCAAGTTCAGATATAAATGTGTGATGTAAAACAAACAATCCTCTGTTATATATAATAAGGAATCACATCAGGCTCTAGTCATAACATTTCTATCTGCAACATTCCACAACGTTTTTGTACTGAACATGGCCCAGTTCTCTTGACATTGATTAAAGCAAAATGTCAAAAACGTGTGTATAATCCTGCACAGTGAATGATGTGGTAGCAGAGAGAGTTCATTTTCATTTGTAGAATATCAATTCATGAGTTGGAGGGGTGTGTTCAAGGGTGTGGGCTATACAGGAAGTACTGAATTATGGAAAATAAATGGATTGAGATACACATTTTGGGTCTTCAACATTTTTATTTTGACCTGCAGCACCCATAGATTGCTCCCAACCCCCCCCTCAAAAAGTGTTATCTCTTTGAAAGACAGCAGGTTCACCCATGGGAAGGGAGTAACGTTAGAGCGCACTGAGGAAAATATATTCCATGTGCTGCTTTCTCTGTACATTTAGTTATTTTGCATCACAGAGGGAAAAGGAGGCTTGCAGACTGTAGCATTTGTAAAAACCATAAAAGTCATACACCACTACATCCCAATTTTTAGGAATGAACGCCAAGGCAGACAGTGTCCTTAGTATGTAAGACGCTGCACATTGGTGTGGATGGAGATCTATCACCAGGAAGTTGCAATAGTGTTTTCAACCCCAAGCCTCACCCACTAAGCATTTGTCGTCAGGCGATGTCTTTTGGATGTATTTTTACGATCTGCACCATATTTGGCCAAAACATAGACATTCAAATTTGGTCTTGATTAAGCCCGAACATAGACGTCTATAATTGGTTACGATTTGGTCCGGACTGGCCTTGATTTAGTCCAAACATAAACGTCTATAATCGGTTCAGATTTGGTCTGGACCGGACCAAATCTGAACCTATCATAGACCTCTATGTTTCACCAGTTTGGACAGTACAGTAGATTTTAGTAATTTAGCAGACGCGCTTATTTACATTTTAGTCATTTAGCAGACGCTCTTATCCAGAGCGACTTACAGTTAGTGAATACATACATTTTCATACTGGCCCCCCGTGGGAATCGGACCCACAACCCTGACATTGCAAGCGCCATGCTCTACCAACTGAGCTACACAGTACATTACAGTACACCAGGGATGGGCAACTTTGATGGAGGTGGGGGCCACAAAAAATCTGAACTCAACATTAGGGGCCGCAGTGGCTCGGGGTCAGTGTACCCACATCCAAACCCACACATGCAGGTCAGAGCTGGCCCTAACCTTTTGGGGGCCCTAAGCAAAAATTTGTTGGAGGGCCCCCGCCACCTTGCAAGCAGAACATTTTAGTGGCCCCCCTCTCGAAAGCGGTCCCCCTCAAGTTTGAGTTAATTACCAGCAATTCTACACATTTTGTCATGGGGTGGAGAGAAAATGTTGCAATTGTATAACTAATTTCATGCAGTTCTACATATTTTGCCATAGGGTGGAGAAAGATGTTTGCAGTTTTTATATCATATTTTAGTGAGAGTGACTAACAAAATCAATGGGGGCCCCGGTCGGTAATTCCACCATGATTATTACAAGTTTAATCTAGCGGCCAGTTAATGTAACAATCTATAACATAACAAAAGAAAAAGTGCTGATGCACAACCAAATTTCAAAATTGCACCTTGTGTATCCTACTATTCTAACTCTCAACAGTAAGTTGAGACCCTGACCGAGTTCCAAAATATTTTGGGGGGTAAATTGATCCGCGGGCCCACGGGCCGCCAGTTGCCCATCCCTGCAGTACACAGTACATTAAGGAAAAGTACAGTACAATAGAGCACACTAGAGTACAGTAAAGTGTACTGTATTGTACTCTACTTTACTCTAATGTACTCTAATAACTGTACTGTACTCTACTGAATAAAACTCTACTGTCCTGTACCATATAGAACTGTACTCTATTTTTACTGTGCTCTACTGTACTAAACTGTGCCATACTGTACTGATGTTCAAACTTGTGAAAAATAGCCTAGACATCTATGATTTGGATCTGGTCCGCACCGACCCAATGTTTACTTGTTTGGGTGCGGAGCTCCTTCGAATAATACCCAGCATGCTTTGCAAGTTTTTGTTTTTACATGTACATTTTGGTAATTCAGCAGATGCTCTTATCTAGTGTGACTTACAGTCAGTGCATTCAACTAAGGTAGATGAACAACAATCTATCCCATTCATAGCAAAAAAGAAATATGTAGCCGTTACTAATTTTTACATTTTAGAATGTTTTTGTAGTTGAAGTGGTCTGTTGGTTTATTCTATATGTTGGACTACTTTGAATATCATTGCTGCCAGTTTTAAAGCTTTTGAAAAAGCTAACATAAGTGCATGTGATACAGTAGATGGGTGGAATGCTACATATTTTTCGGCAATCTTCAGTTGGATCCTCTTTCCTATTAAGAGGTGTGAAATTATTATTGTGATATAATGCTGATGTATAGCAGCTGAAATTTGGCCATAGAATCAATGACCGAAAAATACGTATTTTCAATGTCTGTAAATGAGAACATTTCATAGTCTGGGAAAAACAGACAGACGTATGTTCAATGTCTGGAAAATACGTATTTTTTTCTTTTTCATTCAGCACCTAAAATGCACCTGATGTTGATTTTGACGTATAATACATATTTTCAATGTCCGTATAAGACGTATTTTCGACATCCAGAAAATACTTCAAACCTTTCATTCAGCACCTGAAATGCACGTGATGTCAACATCTAGGAAAATACGTATAAAAGAGGTCTTTCCACTTAAATTTGCTTACTTGGCAGTGTCAATGGGTTTGCTTACACATGTCTCAAAAGGCACAGCACTGGCTGATGCAACCTGATGTCAAACAGGTTGTAGCTGTTTCAGTTTGTAAATCCTTACTACTGCAACACTGACCCCTTGCTGTGGACTATACCCTGAGTAAACAGATAAGATCACCCCTAGTGTTGGACACACACACACAGTCCAGTCCACCATGCTTTCTTTAAATAAGAAGTCTAGCAATGATCAACCACAACTCTGCTAACAGAGCCTCAAAAAGTTCTACAGCTGCACCAACTCTAGCAGTGTTTGTGGTATAAGCACACTCACAACATTGACAATCAGAAGGCCTACACCCTCTCCTCACTCCCATCTTTTCCTGTCTCTCACCCTACCGTTCTGTAGTTTGAGGGCTGCAATCAGTCTTGATGTGGTTTCAAAGTGAACATTTCTGGTGTATCATTGGCTCGTGTGCTCACAACACCCATCGTCTGGTTGGTGAGTTCTGGGGAGTTACTCAGTTACACTGCCTTTTTCGGCTTTTCCACAGAAACATCACATGCCAGGAACGTGTACATTTAACAGTCTCTCTAACAAATGGCCTCTGTTATTGTTGCCAGCTGTGGAGCTGTATACCTCTACTGCACTAAAATCCCTGTACTGTATGTGGAGCATGGTTTTCAGAACAGGGGGGTTCTACCATGTTTTTCAAATCACCATTAAGCTTTCTGCTTACTCGTGTGAGGTTTGTTTGACGAAACAAATCTATTTGTCCTCCCAAACAATTTCTAAACATCCTTGTTTGTCCTTTTTGAAATGTCTCTTGTTTTAAAGAGAGGAAGTCCAATTCCACAGAGGTACAGTATTCAACCCCTCCAAGGTGAATTTGCACATTAGTGAGTTTGGGCTCTACAGTGTCCCACCTTAAAGTTGGGATCCTGCCCTTTGGCATCATACTGTGGCAAATAGTTAATCTTTATTTGACCCAAAAACACACATATACATTTACTAAGCATTAATCAAATGCCTACATAATAACCATATTAACATTAGAAATCGATCAAAGGGATGAAGTAATCATTATCAACATGCATATGTTATATCGTAGATTCTGTTTTCTTCACAGGAGTATTTTCTGTTCAGAGGAAAGGATTGCATCAGTGTCTATGGAACCCAAGAGATTCTGACATGTGGCTTTAAGTGAAAACACCAGCATGACCGACAAGCCAAAGATTCATGTGTTCATGGGTGCCCCTCCCCTCACACCTGTGTCTGATGCTGCTGAGGGAAAGTCTGGTCAGTGGAGGACCATGGAGCTCTGCTGGCAGGGGGGCAGACTGAGGCCTAGGGAGGATGAGGGTGGGATCCATGGAAGTGATGGTCGAGGTGAGGTTGACTCCTCATCAGAGCCCGGAGAGCTGCCCAGTACCAGCAAGCACGGTACCAGTCTCCAAGGTCCTGAGACCCAAACCGGATCTCCCTTAGAGAGAGAACCAGGCTGTAAAGAGACAACCCAGGCTGGCCTGGCCCCTTTGGAGAGCTCAACTCCCCAGAATGAGCAAGCAGTCGGTAATGATGAGGACCTGTGTTCTGAGTCAGTGAGGGAGTATCTGGACAGCTGCTTCCCTGCCGGGCAGCCTGACCCAGGGCCTGAGTCTGCCCCTGAGAGAACAGGCCTCCAGTCAGATCCAGCCCCTGCTCAGTCTGTGTCTGTGGAGACGGAGTACCTCAGTGCATGGACAGTCAGCCAGGCCCTGCTCCTGAGAGGAAGGCTGGGGGGACAACCAGAGACCAGCCCTGTGAAAGCTAGACTTCCACAAACACCACCTAAATCCACACCATCCACTTCCACCTACACCAGCTCCCCGGAGCTGTACAGCCCAGCAACCCCCACTCAGTCACCCAGAGAGCGGGGCCAAGGAGTGACCAATCAGGGCTCCATGGAGCTCTTCTATGAGTCCCTGCTGAGCCAGAGGCAGGAGGAAGGAGGGGTGATACTGGAGGCCACTGCTGATGGGGTGCTCTGCTCTCAGGGTAACCCAATGGGGAACAAAGAAGTGGGTGTAGTCTCCAAAAGCCCTCTCCCATCACCTAGATCCCCTGTACAGACCTCACCTGCACCCCCAGCCCCTAAAAGGAGTAAAGTCTCCCCCACCACAGACAGAACTGATAGGTCACCAGACCAGACTACAGGGAAGGGTTGTGTTACTTCCCAAGCCCACACCACCCTGGCTAAATGTGGCACTCAGGGAGTGCGTTACTCCATCTTAGTGGCCGTGGTGCACCCGTGTCATCTGAAGGAGATCAGAGTGAGGTCCGGGGCGTCTGCTGGCTCCTGTATCCCCCTGGCCTCTGTGGTGGTTACTGACCAATCAGGAGTGGAGATGAAGGTGGTCCTGTGGAGGAGGGCAGCGTTCTGGGCCCTGACTGTGTATGCTGGAGATGTGCTGCTCATCACTGGTAGATATAAACTACCCAGTTACTTGTATTACTTTGTTATAAATCTTTTATTGATAAAATAATGCTGTTATCTCTTGCAGTTGCAAGTACTCACCTTTGCCCAGTTCTGTATTACAGTAACAACAATCAAGAGTGCAAGGAAGTTCCTTGCATTTGTTCCTTATATTTGAACTTGCTACCAATAGACTATCAATTGTATATATGATACAGCAGTAACAGCTACCTGTTGTCATGACAGGTGTGATGGTGAAGGAGGACAAGTGGAGAGGAGAGACGGTGCTACAGTCGACGTACAGCAGCAGGCTCCTCAACCTGGGCCAGGTCACTGGCAGCAGCTCACCTCTAGGTGGGGCTGTGTAGACAGGAAACACCACATCATTCACAAGCCATTTGTAAACCACTGTGTCTTAACTGTGGTGACATATTTATAAATGAATTACTATGAATCAAATATCATATGGATACAATAAACAGTGGAAGAAGAGGAGTAGAATCAGCCAACTATTTAGATTCCAACCTGGGTACCTTTAGGCCTTACAGCCATCTGGTGACTAGATGGGGAATTGCAGCATGCTTTCGCAAGTGCCTGTCAATAATTATTTGTGGCATATTTATCACCCCTTCCTAGAAGTTCTAGAATGTCTAATCTCTCTCTCACAGTTGTATTGATTGATGGTGTAGGTTCACTTACTCACTTTTGCTCTCTGCTCTTGGCATAGTGTGATCATTTGTATAGCTTCCTGATAAGTGTTCAATAAAAAACAAGGTGTTTCAGAGGGTGTGTGCACATGTTGATCTTCACATGATAGCAGTGTTTGTGAAAGCCCCTTGCACATGTTAATCTCTGACTGTTGAGTCATTAAAAAGCCCACATTACATCTAGAGTGGATTGACAAATGTTTCTGTGTTCTGCAGTCCCTCAGAATGTGAATGGCCGGACACTGAGGTCACTGTGCAGTTACCTGCGTGAGAAGCGTCCCCTGCTGGTGTCCCTCCCTCTTCGCGTCCCTCAGAATCCTAACACCATCCCCCACGCCCGTCTCAGGACCCTGAGACCCGACACACTGGTGCATGCACTGCTCAGAGTCACACACACTGAGATGATCACAGGTAATATGCCTCAGACTAGGAGATTATATCATGTAGACACACACTATATTTTTCACACACACACACAACATAGCATTGGCACATGCACCGAGATCACCACAGCTGTCACTCAAACAGGTATGCACACACACACACACGTCTGAATGTATCCCTTTTGTCTGACATGCATTTTATTTGACTTTGATGTGGAAGGTGGTTGTATGGACATAGACAGCCATCACTACATGAGTGTTGACAGCAGCAGCCTGTGTGTCTGACTCTGTGTTACCCAGCGTGGCGAGCCGAGGCAGAGGGCATGTCCAGGGTAGGAGGAGTACTGAAGGCTGTGCTGACTGTAGAGCAGGGGGATGGACAGCAGGGGGCAGTGGTGCTCTGGGGAGCTGCCTTGACCTGGCTGCAGCGGATCAACAGGAACAAAGGTAAAGTTAGGACAAATAAGAAGGAGTTACTAACTTCGCTAAACATTTAGCCAAGTGCTAGCAATCGCTCTACTTGTATGCATTACATAATCCAACTAGCTATTTAGATATTGCTGTATGAGTGAGCTGCCTCCCCCTGCTCCTGTGCAGATGCAGTGTGGTTTTTCCGGTTGCTCCTGGTAAGGGAGAGTATGATGACAGGCCTGCTGGAGCTGCACACCACCCCCTGGGGCTCCTGTGAGCCTCTCTTCCCTGACGACACGCGGGCGCTGGAGTTCTACAGGCCAGGCCCTGCCAAACATGCCAGCACCAGCCTGGAGATAGACCTGCACACTCTCCTGTCCCAGAAGTACACTGGTAAGCAGCTACATCAGGGTTTGTTTGCCAAATAGTGGGTTGGGGCCTACTCGTGACTCATGGACATTGCAATTCCTACTGGGTCACAACATGAGACTGGGTTGTTGCCATGGAACATTACTTTGTTTATTTGTAGGGTCACAGGAAAATACAATAGGATTTTGGTCGGTCAAGGCACAACATTTTACAACACTTAAGAAATCGAAAATAGTGGTTCTGTCATGTAGTACAGGAGTTCTGTAAATGCATTTCTGTATTGAAAAGTAGCGGGATCAGCACTAAATTGCTATTCTCACAACCCATTGTGAAGTTGCTGAACAACATTTTTTTAAATATACAGTACCAGTCAAAAGTTTGGACACACCTACTCATTCCAGAGTTTTTCTTTGTTTTTTCTATTTTCTACATTGTAGAATAATAGTGAAGACATCAAAACTATGAAATAACACATATGGACTCATGTAGTAACCAAAAAAGTGTTAAACAAATCAAAATATATTTTAAATTTGAGATTTAGATTCAAATAGCCACCCTTTGCCTTGATGACAGCTTTGCACACTCTTGGCATTCTCTCAACCAGCTTCATGAGGTAGTGGAGTGCATTTCAGTTAACAGGTGTGCCTTCTTAAAAGTTAATTTGTGGAGTTTCTTTCCTTCTTAATGCGTTTGAGCCAATCAGTTGTGTTGTGACAAAGTAGGGGGGTATACAGAAGATAACCCTATTTTGTAAAAGACCAAGTCCATATTATGGCAAGAACAGAGCAAAGAGAAACGACAGTCCATCCATTACTTTAATGAAGGTCAGTCAATACGGAACATTTCAAGAACTTTCTTCAAGTGCAGTCGCAAAAACCATCAAGCGCTATGATGAAACTGGCTCTCATGAGGACCGCCACAGGAATGGAAGACCCAGCGTTACCTCTGCTGCAGAGGATAAGTTCATTAGAGTTACCAGCCTCATAAATTGCAGCCCAAATAAATGCTTCACAGAGTTCAAATCACAGACACATCCCAACATCAACTGTTCAAAGGAGACTGTGTGAATCAGGCTTTCATGGTCGAATTGCTGCAAAGAAACCACTACTAAAGGACACCAATAATAATAAGAGGCCTGCTTGGGCCAAGAAACATGAGCAAATCAAATCAAATTTTATTGGCCACATGCGCCGAATACAACAGGTGCAGACGTTACAGTGAAATGCTTACTTACAGCCCTTAACCAACAGTGCATTTATTTTTAATAAAAAAAAGTAGTAGAATAAAACAAAAAAGTGTTGAGAAAAAAAGAGCAGAAGTAAAATAAAATAACAGTAGGGAGGCTATACAGTGAGGGAAAAAAGTATTTGATCCCCTGCTGAGTTTGTACGTTTGCCCACTGACAAAGACATGATCAGTCTATACTTTTAATGGTAGGTTTATTTGAACAGTGAGAGACAGAATAACAACAAAAACATCCAGAAAAACGCATGTCAAAAATGTTATGAATTGATTTGCATTTTAATGAGGGAAATAAGTATTTGACCCCTCTGCAAAACACAATTTTGTACTTGGTGGCAAAACCCTTGTTGGCAATCAGAGGTCAGACGTTTCTTGTAGTTGGCCACCAGGTTTGCACACATCTCAGGAGGGATTTTGTCCCACTCCTCTTTGCAGATCTTCTCCAAGTCATTAAGGTTTTGAGGCTGACGTTTGGCAACTCGAACCTTCAGCTCCCTCCACAGATTTTCTATGGGATTAAGGTCTGGAGACTGGCTAGGCCACTCCAGGACCTTAATGTGCTTCTTCTTGAGCCACTCCTTTGTTGCCTTGGCCATGTGCTTTGGGTCATTGTCATGCTGGAATACCCATCCACGACCCATTTTCAATGCCCTGGCTGAGGGAAGGAGGTTCTCACCCAAGATTTGACGGTACATGGCCCCGTCCATCGTCCCTCTGATGCGGTGAAGTTGTTCTGGCCCCTTAGCAGAAAAACACTCCCAAAGCATAATGTTTCCACCTCCATGTTTGACAGTGGGGATGGTGTTCTTGGGGTCATAGGCAGCATTCCTCCTCCTCCAAACACGGCGAATTGAGTTGATGCCAAAGAGCTCGATTTTGGTCTCATCTGACCACAACACTTTCACCCAGTTCTCCTCTGAATCATTCAGATGTTCATTGGCAAACTTCAGACGGGCCTGTATATGTGCTTTCTTGAGCAGGGGGACCTTGCGGGCGCTGCAGGATTTCAGTCCTTCACGGCGTAGTGTGTTACCAATTGTTTTCTTGGTGACTATGGTCCCAGCTGCCTTGAGATCATTGACAAGATCCTCCCGTGTAGTTCTGGGCTGCTTCCTCACCGTTCTCATGATCATTGCAACTCCACGAGTTGAGATCTTGCATGGAGCCCCAGGCCGAGGGAGATTGACAGTTCTTTTGTGTTTGTTCCATTTGCGAATAATCGCACCAACTGTTGTCACCTTCTCACCAAGCTGCTTGGCGATGGTCTTGTAGCCCATTCCAGCCTTGTGTAGGTCTACAATCTTGTCCCTGACATCCTTGGAGAGCTCTTTGGTCTTGGCCATGGTGGAGAGTTTGGAATCTGATTGATTGATTGCTTTTGTGGACAGGTGTCTTTTATACAAGTAACAAGCTGAGATTAGGAGCACTCCCTTTAAGAGTGTGCTCCTAATCTCAACTCGTTACTTGTATAAAAGACACCTGGGAGCCAGATATCTTTCTGATTGAGAGGGGGTCAAATACTTATTTCCCTCATTAAAATGCAAATAAATTTATAACATTTTTGACATGCGTTTTTCTGGATTTTGTTGTTGTTTTTCTGTCTCTCACTGTTCAAATAAACCTACCATTCAAATTATAGACTGATTATTTCTTTGTCAGTGGGCAAACATACAAAATCAGCAGGGGATCAAATAATTTTTTTCCCTCACTGTATATACAGGGGGGTACCGGTGCAGAGTCAATGTGCGGGGGCACCGGCTAGTTGAGGTAGTTGAAGTAATATGTACTTTAGAGTTAAAGTGACTATGCATAAATAATTAACAGAGTAGCAGCAGCGTAAAAAGATGGGGGGGGGGGCAGTGCAAATAGTCCGGGTAGCCATGATTAGCTGTTTAGGAGTCTTATGGCTTGGGGGTAGAAGCTGTTGAGAAGTCTTTTGGACCTAGACTTGGCACTCCGGTGCCGCTTGCCATGCGGTAGCAGAGAGAACAGTCTATGACTAGGGTGGCTGGAGTCTTTGACAATTTTGAGGGCCTTCCTCTGACACCGCCTGATATAGAGGTCCTGGATGGCAGGAAGCTTGGCCCCAGTGATGTACTGGGCCGTACGCACTACCCTCTGTAGTGCCTTACGGTCGGAGGCCAAGGAGTTGCCATACCAGGCGGTGATGCAACCAGTCAGGATGCTCTCGATGGTGCAGATGTATAATTTTTTGAGGATCTGAGGACCCATGCCAAATCTTTTCAGTCTCCTGAGGGGGAATAGGCTTTGTCGTTCCCTCTTCACTACTGTCTTGGTGTGTTTGGACCGTGATAGTTTGTTGGTGATGTGGACACCAATGAACTTGAAGCTCTCAACCTGTTCCACTACAGCCCCGTCGATGAGAATGGGGGCGTGCTCAGTCCTCTTTTTTTTCCTGTAGTCCACAATCATCTCCTTTGTCTTGGTCACGTTGAGGGAGAGGTTGTTATCCTGGCACCACATGGTCAGGTCTCTGACCTCCTCTCTATAGGCTGTCTCATTGTTGTCGGTGATCAGGCCTACCACTGTTGTGTTGTCGGCAAACTTAATGATGGTGTTGGAGTCGTGCCTTGCCATGCAGTCATGGGTGAACAGGGAGTACAGGAGGGGACTGAGCACGCACCCCTGAGGGGCCCCCGTGTTGAGGATCAGTGTGGCAGATGTGTTGTTACCTACCCTTACCACCTGGGGGCAGCCCGTCAGGAAGTCCAGGATCCAGTTGCAGAGGGAGGTGTTTAGTCCCAGGATCCTTAGCTTAGTGATGAGCTTTGAGGGCACTATGGTGTTGAATGCTGAGCTGTAGTCAATTAATAGCATTCTCACGTAGGTGTTCCTCTTGTCCAGGTGGAAAAGGGCAGTGTGGAGTGCAATAGAGATTGCATCATCTGTGGATCTGTTGGGGCGGTATGCAAATTGGAGTGGGTCTAGGGTTTCTGGGATAATGGTGTTGATGTGAGCCATGACCAGCCTTTCAAAGCACTTCATGGCTACAGACGTCAGTGCTACGGGTCGGTAGTCATTTAGGCAGGTTATCTTAGAGTCCTTGGGCACGGGGACTATGGTGGTCTGTTTGAAACATGTTGGTATTACAGACTCAGTCAGGGACATGTTGAAAATGTCAGTGAAGACACTTGCCAGTTGGTCAGCACATGCTCGGAGTACACGTCCTGGTAATCCGTCTGGCCCTGCGGCCTTGTGAATGTTGACCTGCTTAAAAGTCTTACTCACATAGGCTACGGAGAGCGTGATCACATAGTCATCCGGAACAGCTGGTGCTCTCATGCATGCTTCAGTGTTGCTTGCCTCGAAGCGAGCATAGAAGTGGTTTAGCTCGTCTGGAAGTCTTGTGTCACTGGGCAGCTCGCGGCTGTGCTTCCCTTTGTAGTCTGTAATAGTTTTCAAGCCCTGCCACATCCGACGAGTGTCAGAGCCGGTGTAGTACGATTCAATCTTTGTCCTGTATTGACTCTTTGCCTGTTTGATGGTTCGTCGGAGGGCATAGCGGGATTTCTTATAAGCGTCCGGGTTAGAGTCCCGCTCCTTGTTGCCTGTAATCCATGGCTTCTGGTTGGGGTATGTACGTACGGTCACTGTGGGGACGACATCATCGATGCACTTATTGATGAAGCCAGTGACTGATGTGGTGTACTCCTCAATGCTATCTGAAGAATCCCGGAACATGTTCCAGTCTGTGCTAGCAAAACAGTCCTGTAGCTTAGCATCTGCGTCATCTGACCACTTTTTTTATTGACCGAGTCACTGGTGCTTCCTGCTTTAGTTTTTGCTTATAAGCAGGAATCAGGAGGATAGAGTTATGGTCAGATTTGCCAAATGGAGGGCGAGGGAGAGCTTTGTATGCGTCTCTGTGTGTGGAGTAAAGGTGGTCTAGAGTTTTTTTTTTTTCCCCTCTGGTTGCACATTTCACATGCTGGTAGAAATTAGGTAGAACTGATTTAAGTTTCCCTGCATTAAAGTCCCCGGCCACTAGGAGCGCTGCCTCTGGATGAGCGTTTTCCTGTTGACTTATGGCCTTATACAGCTCATTCAGTGCAATCTTAATGCCAGCATCGGTTTGTGGTGGTAAATAGACAGCAATGAAAAATATAGATGAAAACTCTCTTGGTAAATAGTGTGGTCTACAGCTTATCATAAGATACTCTACCTCAGGCGAGCAAAACCTTGAGACTTCCTTAGTATTTGATTTTCTGCACCAGCTGTTGTTTATAAATATACACAGACCGCCACCCCTTGTCTTACCGGAGTCAGCCGTTCTATCCTGCCGATGTAGCGTATAGCCCGCTAGTTGTATGTTGTCCATGTCGTTGTTCAGCCACGACTCGGTGAAACATAAGATATTACAGTTTTTAATGTCCCATTGGTAGGATAACCGTAATCTTAAGTCATCCAATTTATTCTCAAATGATTGAAGATTGGCTAATAGGATTGATGGGAGCGGCAGTTTACTCGCTCGCCGTCGGATCCTTACAAGGCACCCCGACCTACGTCCACGATATCTCTGTCTCTTCCTCATGCGAATGACGGGGATTTGGGCCTTGTCGGGTGTCTGTAGGATGTCCTTCGCGGCCGCCTCGTTGAAGAAAAAATATTAGTCCAATACGAGGTGAGTAATCGCTGTCCTGATATCCAGAAGCTCTTTTTGGTTCTAAGAGACGATGGCAGAAACATTATGTACAAAATAAATTACAAATAACGCGGAAAAACACACATAATAGTACAATTGGTTAGAGGGCTGTAAAACGGCAGCCTTCTTCTCCAGCGCCATTATTATTAGCAATGGACATTAGACCGGTGGAAATTTGTCCTTTGGTCTGGAGTCCAAATTGGAGATTTTTGGTTCCAATCTCTGTGTGTTTGTGAGATGCAGTGTGGGTCAACGGTTGATCTCTGCATGTGTATTTCCCACCATAAAGCATGGAGGAGGAGGTGTTATGGTGTGGGGGCGCTTTGCTGTCTGTGATTTATTTAGAATTCAAGGCACACTTAACCAGCATGGCTACCACAGCATTCTACATCGATACGCCATCCCATCTGGTTTGGGCTTAGTGGGACTATAATTTGTTTTTCAACAGGACAATGATCCAACACACCTCCAGGCTGTGTAAGGGCTATTTTACCAAGAAGGAGAGTGATGGAGTGCTGCATCAGATGACCTGGCCTCCACAATCACCCGATCTCAACCCAATTGAGATGGTTTGGGATGAGTCGGACCGCAGAGTGAAGGAAAAGCAGCCAACAAGTGCTCAACATATGTGGGAAATCCTTTGACTGTTGGAAAAGCATTCCAGGTGAAGCTGGTTGAGAGAATGCCAAGAGTGTGCAAAGCTGTCATCAAGGCAAAGGGTGGCTATTTGAAGAATCTCAAAGAAAAAATATTGTTTTTGATTTGTTTAACACTTTTTTGGTTACAACATGATTCCATATGTGTTATTTCATAGTTTTAAGGTCTTCACTATTATTCTACAATGAAGAAAATAGTAAAAATGTAGAAAAGCCTTTGAATGATTAGGTGTGTCCAAACTTTTTGACTGGTACTGTATGTAATGTATGTATGTGTCTGCATTTCTTTTATCTATCAACCAATAGGTGCCTTTTTTGCGTGTATTTTTTATTCAAACAACCACGACGTGCCAACGACCGACAAATAGAAAAAAAAGAGAAGGGGGGGGGGGGGGGACAAAGAAAGACAATGCAAAACAACAACAATCCAGGACAACAATATTCAACACTGCAAGGCCAACTGTGTGTTTCTCTGCATGTGTGGCACTATTTACATGTGTAACAACCTGTGTGTTTGTGCTGCATGCGAGCGCTTGTGTGGCATCAGCCTCAGGCAGATGTAATAATGTTTTATTTTCTTTTTTACTTATCTTTAACTTTTATCATTTGTTGCTTTTCGTCCTCTAAGGTGATGTGGAACTGCGAGTTCACATCACAGCGTTCCAGTTTCAAGGCAGCCCCTCCCAGAATGCACTGCAGCGGATGGCCAGTGACACGCATCTGGAGAGTATCCTGGACACGGTGTCAGGTGACATCACGTTCACGGGTTGTGGGCGCTGCGCTGCCGAGCTGGACACAGATGACAACGGTATCTACTGTCCCTGCTACCCCTGCCTCCCCCATACTGGAGTACGACGCTATTACAGGTAATACAACCACAACACTGGGCATCTCGCCAACATGACAAGCATTACATTACATTAAAGTATAAAGAGAGACCTCAATAATACTTCACTCACTGACTCAGATTATTTTAGTGAAAGTGTCCACTTCTCAGACGTACCAAACAACACACTTTTTCCAAATATAAATGGAATTGGCTGGTAATTAACTCAAGCAGCCTGAATAGCTCTCATTTTCTAAAAGCGGTGATTATGTCAACTGCAAATGGCTCCTTCAAGCTCCAATACTAGCTTACACTATGACAGTACCAAATGACTCTTTGGCTTGTGTTTTGGGTTAGTAAAGTGACTTTCTCACTTCACTCAAGGCCAGTAATGCTGACTGTGAAGGATGGAGAAAGCCAGGTGTGTGTGCAGGTGCCACCTGTCCTGCTGCAGAAGATCTTGCTCGACACTCCTCCTGACAAGCTGAGCAAGACCGTGTGTAAGAAGATTAGTGTTTTCCCACGGTCTTCCAACCCATGCCTCTTATCTCTTTCTGTCACTCATCCATCTGCAGTTTGTGACACTGGCTCATTAACATTATTATTTATCTTTCTCCCACAGCTCCAGGTTCAGATGTGAGGTTAGTCCAGGTAGTGGCTGAGAGGATTTATTCCTTACTGTCCATTCCCAGACGCACCTTCCTCCTTACTGTCCGCAGCCACTTCCTGTGTGATGAGAACAGTGTCCCAACTGCCCAGGATTTCCTACTGCTGGATTTTTCATGACCCCAAATCATAACATCTCTCTGCTCACTTGAATCAACTCCAAATGTCATATGAATGTATTTGTACTACCCTGCCAGACTGTACCATTAAACATTATTTTTTAAAGATTTTTGCTGCTGATCAAGATTCGATATTTGGTTCTGATCGACAACACCAAGCAGTACACAGTCATCATCACAGATCTTTGAGGTGTGTTTAGGCCTCCCTGAAAGTACTAATTTATGTTATGTAAAATGGCATCATGTTTGTATGAATTTGTTGGAATATTAATAGTTTTGCCTTGTGAAATAAAAATATATATTTTCAGTGTACAGATATTGCAATATAGTACCATATACATTTTGTTTTTCTCATATCACAGTTTAATACTAAAATATACAGACATCCAATACATCCTTGGGGCGGCAGGTAGCTTAGTGGTTAAGAGCATAGTGCCAGTAACCGAAAGGTCGCTGGTTCTAATCCCCGAGCCGACTAGGTGAAAAATCTGTCGATGTGCCCTTGAGCAAGGCCCTTAACCCTAATTGCTCCTGTAAGTCGCTCTGGATAAGAGCGTCTGCTAAATGACTAAAATGTAAATGTAAATCCTTCCTTGCACCTCCTAATTGCAGACCACATCATTGTATTACTGTTGAAATGAGGGCGGGGAATTTGTAGACGGGGCACTTCCCACAACCAATCGGTAGCTCAAGTTTGACACGTGTCTGCGGAATTCCCCCAGCACTCCGGGGCTTTCCAGCTGACTTGATAGACCGTAGGCAAGAGAACCAGCCTATCATAACGGATAGTTAGTTATATAGGAGAAAATAAACAGTTAAATCGATGGGGAAATACATGGAACAAATCCCGGATTTGAGCCGACAGTGAAGTGAACGAACAGTGTGTGCGCGCACTGTACTTTTGAGGAACGCCCTGACATTTCACAATCGGTTTGATCAACTTCAGCAGCAGTTGTGCTGTCTTGTTCTCTGCTTCGAGGTGGATCAAGTTTAGAGGAGTTGTAAGGTAAGGAACTTTATGAACAGTGGTTGCCTGTGTGTGTCAAAATGGATGTGTTGTGATGTAGTATTTTCTCTGTCATAGGATTATGCCGGGGTAATCCATAACAGCTGTTGTCACTGTGACTCAAACTCCTTTGGCAAACTACCATATATCTTGCTGGAAAGTTGTGGCCGTTTCATTATAAATTAGGGTTTGAAGTTATGAAACAACTTTTTAATGGCCTATATATGCTTCAGAAAACATTCATAAGCAAATATGATTTAAAAGGGTGATAATTATATCGAAATGGGACCGCACCAGATGTAAGATCATGCTTTAACCCCCTATATGTAGTATGAATGTGTTTACAAATGCTGGCCGACGCATATTTGTTGTGCTTAATGAATGCTCAGCCATAAATTGTTGACTGGCTGTGAGGTGATGATGGGTCTACAGCTGTAGCCTAGGCTTCAGCAGCCTAAATGATTTCATTCATAAATATGTAACAAGAAAATTATGTAAAAATTTGACTAATAAAGCTCTCATTATTCAAGATAGAAAGTGGGTTACGGGTTTGGCCCCATCTCAGCAACCAGGGCCTGGAAATTCCCGTATTAGCCATAGGAAATACCCAATGGACTAATAACAGTTTCCAATTATTGCAGGGAGTTGACAGTGAGCCTGAAGTATCATCTATGATCCACTGACAGGCATCATGTCTGGAGCACTGAGGTATGTACTGCTGCTGTGATGTTGTGCTGCTTTGTTGGGGTCCCTACAGTCTTTGACAGTTGATTGTCCTCTACAATTGATTTAGGTCATTTTGAACAGACTGGAACCATGGATCAGGGTCAAGGACCTGCCCTCATTTGCAGAGAGTGGGGTCTGTTTAAAGGAATGAACTGTAAATGGTTGTGCATGTTTTGGTGTAAAAGTAAATTACACACAAAGGCACCACTTTTCTCACTTCACTGTTGGGCTTGTTCTGCTGTTCTTTAGCTGGCACGCTTTGATAGCTCAGGTGGAGTAGGCCTAGCCCTAGCAGAAAGTCTTGAGAGTAAAATGGTGGCTATATTCATGGTGCTTGTTCGATTCGTGCTGAAAGGTGGATACTCTTTCTGCTGCTGCGGTGGTGCTGCTGATCTAGTTGTTGTCTTTGGCATATTAATCTGTTCATACACAATTACACATTTTTGAGTGTTCTGATATGTCCACACATCGTTCTCTTATGCCACTCGGAATCTAATCTATAAAAAAAGGGCTCAGTTTAGTTTAGTGTTGTCACAATACCGATAGCGCAATACTATGATACCAGATTTTCCTTGGCAAAGAAATTAAACAAAGCAGATTTCACTCTATGGTCCGTTAGTTAACCCTTTACTCGTGGGAATTGGCCTATATTGATAGGGCTAAATTAAATGTTTCTTACAGAAGAAATAGGAAATGCATAAGCATGGTAGCAATTGAAAGGGAACAGTTTGGAGATGATGGGAAAATTATTAGACCAAAGTTGAGGACAGACTGAATCCAAACAATACACTTGATGTTATGTGCATTTTACGTTTACTGTACTTTTTGCCGCATTTGTTGATAACAAAATCTGAAAGTACTAGATACATTCAGTAACATGATAAGAATATTCCTGGAAAATGTGGGGTAGGTGCAAAAATAAGACAAAAAAATGACAAGGGTTTGAGTGAGAGGACTAACTGATGTCTCCAAGTGGCCACACATCTCCCCAAAGTGTGCACAGTTCCTATGTAATTTCAATGCACTTTTTATGACTCAAAGAAGTCTTCAACTATAAGGTGTTTTTTTTAGCTCTCCTAGCTCTGCCTTTGAGGAACTACAGCAACCAGACTAGTTGTTTTGAGCACAGCCCTGCATCCCCGCCATCACACAATTACTGTTTAACCAATCCAAAAACAGCCCATAATAAATCGCAACCTGGGCCAGGTGGGAATCATTTGAAAGCTTGTTCTATTGCCAACATGACTAGCTAAGTTATAAAATACGATCTTACGGTGTTAGGCTTTCACAGGGCAATTCAGAGAAACGGATTGTAATTTTGGTGCGCATAGAAAGGAGTCGTGTGCATTCAAGTGCGTGTTCCACAGCGAATTTCCTTCACAATAGACAAACATTCTGTTCAGAACAACCCAGGGGTATGACGCCATGTCATCTTGGAACTGTACATCAAACATAGTGATCATAAACGATGACAATGTATTTAACATGAGCTTTATGATATGGAAATGTGAAGTACACATTTGGACTCGCGGATGTTTGGCTTGCTTGTATGACATCAAAGCGTTATTTATTATAATCCTCAATGTCTCATCTTTCAAAATGTAGCATTTCTCTCACTCAGACAAAAAAATGCCCAATTAGTGGAAGGGATGGGGGCAACTTCTTGTCGCATGCAGTGCTCAAGTTTAGAACGGCTGTCAGTCAAAATCCATACAGCTCTGTGAAGCACAGAGCCCGAGCTCTGATGTCATTTATAGCATGTTACTGTACAGCCACTGCATTCCACAGGTGTAAAGGGCTACAACCTACTTTAGCAAAATAAACAAATGTGACTCTGTCAACATACGGTAAAGGGAAAGGGGGATACCTAGTCAGTTGTACAACTGAATGCATTCAACTGAAATGTGTCTTCTGCATTTAACCCAACCCCTCTGAATAAGAGAGGTAGGGGGGCTGCCTTAAATCGACAACACGTCTCGGCGCCCGGTGAACAGTGGGATAACTGCCTTACTCAGGGGCAGAACGACAGATTTTGTACCTTGTCAGCTCGGGGATTCGATCCAGCAACCTTTTGGTTACTGGCCCAACACTACTACCGGCGGTTTCTTCAAACGTTAGGACTATTTCGTCAAGAAATTAAGTGCTTAATGTTTTATTTTCTTCCTTACTTCCTAGTGTCGCGATACTGGTATCGTGACACCCCTAGTTTAGATGAAATATGTACTGCTCTCATTCTTCAAACCTCAGACTTCCTGTCAATTCATCATTATGACACTGTCTCAGTTTGCATGACAGTGTAACACATTAGGAAAAGCATCCTGCTCATGCTGTACAAAAAGCACCTGGGCCAACCCCACTTACTCTTATACCTACTACACGGACATGGCCCAGTCAGAGTGGAAACCACTGACAAAGACCTTAGAACCTAACACCCTTGTAAAGGAGGCTGTTTTACAAGAAGTTAATCTGGATATGAAGAGCACAGGAGATGTACACTACCGGTCAAAAGTTTTAGAACACCTACTCATTCCAGGGTTTTTCTTTATTTTTACTATTTTCTACATTGTAGAATAATAGTGAAGACATCATAACTATGAAATAACACATATGGAATCATGTAGTAACCAAAAAAGTGTTAAACAAATCAAAATATATTTTATGTTTGAGATTCTTCAAATAGCCACCCTTTGCCTTGATGACAGCTTTGCACACTCTTGGCATTCACTCAACCAGCTTCATGAGGTAGTCACCTGGAATGCATTTCAATTAACAGGTGTGCCTTCTTAAAAGTTAATTTGTGGAATTTCTTTCCTTCTTAATGCGTTTTAGCCAATCAGTTGTGTTGTGACAAAGTAGGGGGGGTATACAAAAGATAGCCCTATTTGGTAAAATACCAAGTCCATATTATGGCAAGAACAGATCAAATAAGCAAAGAGAAACGACAGTCCATCATTACTTTAAGACATGAAGGTCAGTCAATACCGAACATTTCAAGAAAGTTTCTTCAAGTGCAGTCGCAAAAACAATCAAGCGCTATGATGAAACTGGCTCTCATGAGGACCGCCACAGGAATGGAAGACCCAGAGTTACCTCTGCTGCAGAGGATAAGTTCATTACATTTTTGTCATTTAGCAGATGCTCATATCCAGAGCGACTTACAGTTAGTGAGTGCATACATTTTTCATACTGGTCCCCCGTGGGAATCGAACTCACAACCCTGGCGTTGCAAGCGCCATGCTCTACCAACTGAGCTACACGGGACATTAGAGTTACCAGCCTCAGAAATTCCAACCCAACTAAATGCTTCAAAGAGTTCAAGCAATAGACACGTCTCAACATCAACTGTTCAGAGGGGACTGTGTGAATCAGGCCTTCATGGTCGAATTGCTGCAAAGAAACCACTACTAAAGGACACCAATAAGAAGAAGAGACTTGCTTGGGCCAAGAAACACAAGCAATGGACATTAGACCGGTGGAAATGTGTCCTTTGGTCTGGAGTCCAAATTTTAGATTTTTGGTTCCAACAGTATCTTTGTGAGACGCGGTGTGGGTGAACGGATGATCTCCGCATGTGTATTTCCCACCGTAAAGCATGGAGAAGGAGGTGTTATGGTGTGGGGGTGCTTTGCTGGTGACACTGTCTGTGACGCCATCCCATCTGTTTTGGGCTTAGTGGGACTATCACAAGTGCTCAGCATATGTGGGAACCCCTTCAAGACTGTTGGAAAAGCATTCCAGGTGAAGCTGGTTTAGAGAATGTCAAGAGTATGCAAAGCTATCATCAAGGCAAATAGTGGCTATTTGAAGAATCTCAAATATAAAATATATTTGGATTTGTTTAACACTGTTTTGGTTACTACATGATGTGTTATTTCATAGTTTTGATGTCTTCACTATTATTCTACAATGTAGAAAATAGTAAAAATAAAGACAAACCCTTGAATGAGTAGGTGTGTCCAAACATTTGACCGGTAGTGTAGCTGCTGAAGAAAAACAATCCGAAAGCAAAAGGAAGAGGAAGAATGCTGAAGGCTGGATGTTGTTTTAACGATTATAGATAAATAAATAAAGGCTCTCATAAAAAAACACCAGGCTTTTGTATATGGTGTACTGAGTCAGTCTGAAATCAGCGGCAGCACTGAGCTGGTATTCTGGGGGATTTCCTCTCTGTTTTTTTCCTTCCCCACTTCCTGGAAGTGATATGCGTGAGTAAAAGAGGGAGGGGGAAAGAGAGAAAAGAACAGAACACCGCAACACCCTTCCTTGTTCACTTACTATAGAGTATGCAAAAAGGAACCACAATGTTCGAGTCCAATGTATGAGATTGAAAGTTATCTACATTTTGTTTTGTTGTTACTTCTCGTATTTCTTTCGCTTTAAGTGTTTTATTTGAATCATGTCGAGAGGGAAAAGAGTGGACTTATAGTGAGTCAAGTGAGTTGTTCACATTGAGTAGTACTGAAGTAAACAACTTCCTGTCTATGTGTACATCTCTACAGAACTGACAGGTATGGAGACTTGTTGTTTATGATCAGAAAGGGGTCGACATTTGTCAAGAAACTACATTTGGTAATTTGTATTTCACCCTTATGTTTCAGAATGGATGAAGCTCAGTACAGCATGAAAATGATTGAAAATGAGGTAAGAGACCTATTTTGATATGTTTTTGCTGGATGTGTTAGTATGTCCATTATGCTATGTTAGAATAAAATACATTTGTAAAGATGTAATAATATGTATATAAAAAAAGAGCTCCCTCTTTAAAACATGTAATCTCCCCAGCTGATGATGAATTTATCGACATATGAGTTCATGCCCCCTGTGGACGTCAAGATTGAGCCCTACGTCCCTGAGACAGGTGGGTTTATACCTTATGTACACATGGTACCATATGGATACAGCATACTCAAGTTGTAGTGATATTATTTGGTATGATGTGGATATGGTATGTACACTCAAGTAGAAGTGATCTCACTGACAATTTTTTTTAATGGCTTTCAAAACTGTGCAAATACTGTATGTAGTGCATAGTAATTATGATATCTTACACAATGAACCATTTATACACTGTATGTAATGTACAGTGCCTTGCAAAAGTATTAATCCCCTTTGGCGTTGTTCCTATTTTGTTGCATTACTACCTGTAATTTAAATTGATTTTTATTTGGATTTCATGTAATGGACATACACAAAATAGTCCGAATTGGTGAAGTGAAATGAAAAAAATAACTTGTTTCAGAAAATTCTAAAAAATAAATAACGGAAAAGTGGTGCGTGCATATGTATTCACCCCCTTTGCTATGAAGCCCCTAAATAAGATCTGGTGCAACCAATTACCTTCAAAAGTCACATAATTTGTTAGATTGCACACAGGTGGACTTTATTTAAGTGTCACATGATCTCAGTATATACAGTGGGGAGAACAAGTATTTGATACACTGCCAATTTTGCAGGTTTTCCTACTTACAAAGCATGTAGAGGTCTGTAATTTTTATCATAGGTACACTTCAACTGTGAGAGACGGAATCTAAAACAAAAATCCAGAAAATCACATTGTATGATTTTTAAGTAATTCATTTGCATTTTATTGCATGACATAAGTATTTGATCACCTACCAACCAGTAAGAATTCCGGCTCTCACAGACCTGTTAGTTTTTCTTTAAGAAGCCCTCCTGTTCTCCACTCATTACCTGTATTAACTGCACCTGTTTGAACTCGTTACCTGTATAAAAGACACCTGTCCACACACTCAATCAAACAGACTCCAACCTCTCCACAATGGCCAAGACCAGAGAGCTACTTGAGGGAAATACTTGAGGGAAACCTGTTTCAGTCTTCCAGAGATTTGAGACTGGGACGGAGGTTCACCTTCCAGCAGGACAATGGCCCTAAGCATACTGCTAAAGCAACACTCGAGTGGTTTAAGGGGAAACATTTAAATGTCTTGGAATGGCCTAGTCAAAGCCCAGACCTCAATCCAATTGAGAATCTGTGGTATGACTTAAAGATTGCTGTACACCAACTTGAAGGAGCTGGAGCAGTTTTGCCTTGAAGAATGGGCAAAAATCCCAGTAGCTAGATGTGCCAAGCTTATAGAGACATACCCCAAGAGACTTGCAGCTGTAATTGCTGCAAAAGGTGGCTCTACAAAGTATTGACTTTGGGGGGGTTGGGGGGGGGGTGTGAATAGTTATGCAGGCTCAAGTTTTCTGTTTTTTTGTCTTATTTCTTGATTGTTTCACACAAAAATATTTTGCATCTTCAAAGTGGTAGGCATGTTGTTTAAATCAAATGATACAAACCCCCAAAAATCAATTTTAATTCCAGGTTGTAAGGCAACAAAATAGGAAAAATGCCAAGGGGGGTGAATACTTTCACAAGCCACACACATATGCTGCCAGTATATTTTTGTTATTTGGATTCTCTGCCCTGGTTTTTTGAAGGGTTTGGATGTGAGTCTTGATTTGTAGCGTCCCTCTTCCATTGACAGTAACCCTGTGTGTTTCTTTGTTACAGCTCATGGACCCTACATTCAGATAATTGAGGAGCCCAAAAAGGTGAGCTCAGAGTTGCTCTTAAATAGTGGAATTACGTCTTCCCTTGTTGTACTGTTTCTGTTCAAATAATTACATAAGTCTGAACACAAGTTCTTCCCTCTTTCATTGCGAAACTATGATATTCACCTAATCAGTTGATTCACACCAACCATTTTTCTATAGGTACTTTATATCTAGCTCATGCTCTCAACTCTCCCAAAGAAGGAGCCCTTTGAACTAGAATGGAATTTAGACATTGGCTTGTCCCCTACTCCTGTCTTTGCTTTATGGGGTTAGAGTATGACGGTGGGTTGGGAAGACCAGTATTTAGGAAGTGAATGTTTGTTACAGTAAGTGCTGGCACTGATGTTGGGGAATTTTCCCTTACTTCCTTGTTCGCCTGTCTGCAGAGAGGCTTCAGATTCCGCTATGAGTGTGAGGGTCCATCCCACGGTGGGCTCCCAGGGGCCTCCAGCGAGAGGAACAGGAGGACCTACCCCACTGTCAAGGTCAGCTACTGTACTGTACTGTAGTACACACTGTTGGATACTTGGCTGTCTGTTTGATCTTTTAGCTTCACTGTCTTTTCATCATGTGTTCAATGGAGTCCAATACGCTTTCGAATGTGTATATGTGATATATTGACATCACGGTATTATTTGCGACACATGTTGTAAATATAAACAATTGTTACAGTAATTTCACTGTAAAGTTGTGCTTCTCCACTGAATCATCTTGCTTTGTTAGTGTATCAGTGTAGGGCATGAACATACTTACATTTAGTCAATAATGATCTGTCTAACTCTCTCTCGTTCTATCTGTCGTTCTATCTGTCTGTGTCTCCAGGTATCTAACTATGTGGGGATAGCCAGGGTAGAGGTGCAGCTGGTGACCCACACTGACCCCCCTCAGGTCCACGCTCACAGTCTGGTGGGGAGGCACTGCTGCACGGAGAGTGGAACATGCAGTGTGGATGTGGGCCCCAATGACCTCACAGCACAGTGAGTACAGATTGGTTGTCTGTCTTTTATTGTCACATTTCATTGCACACTGATCTAGATATTTAGCACTTGGATTAACTTGATGAAGCCCGTGAATGTGATGTGTGTACAATAGGGAAGGGAAAAGGGATACCTAGTCAGTTGCACAACTGAATGCATTCAACCAAAATGTGTCTGCCACATTTAACCTAACCCCTCTAAATCAGAGAGGTGAAGGGGGCTGCCTTAATCGACGACCACGTCATCGGTGCCCAGGGAGCAGTTGTTGTTGGGGGTTAACTGCCTTGCTCAGTGGCAGAAGGGCAGATTTTTCCACCTTGCCGGCTCGGTCATTCTAACCAGCGACCTTTCGGTTACTATCCCAACGCTCTTAACCACTAGGCTACCTGCCGCAACATGACTGGTAAATGTCAACATCTCTCGAACTTCCCGTTTCTCATTCTATTTTTCTCTCTGTAGGTTCAGTAACCTCGGCATCCTTCATGTCACTAAGAAAGGGGTGGTGGAAGTGTTGTTCAAGAGACTGAGAGACGAGAAGAGGAACCAAAAGGGGCAGCACTACCATTTTACTGGTAAGAGCCTGCAACCCTACTTCACTGTCCTTGAGGAAATCTACTCTGTGAGGGCGGAATCCTAACTTGAGATATACTACGTGAAACCCACATATTTGTGCAAATCGCAATGCATGGTTTACATGTTAGTCCATATAAATCAATGTCTTTGTGAAAACTGCTACAAAAACACCCTCTCTATGTCTATCTCCCACAGATGCAGAGGAACAAGCCATATTGAGAGAAGCCAACGAGCTGGGCAGGATCATGGACCTGAACATAGTGAGGTTAAAGTTCACGGCCTACCTCCAGGACAGTAACGGAGGGTTCTCTAGGGCCCTGAAGCCGGTGGTCTCCAACCCCATTTTTGACAGCAGTGAGTAGAAACTCTCTCTACCTCTGTGTTCTTCAATCCTGGCCCTGGGGACCTACAGGCTTTTGTTTCAGACCAGTACTAACATATCTGATTAAATGAATAAACTAATCATCAAGACCTTGATTAGTTGAATATGTTGTGTTAGTGCTGAAAAATGTACATGTATTACCATTGTCAGTAGTGAACACATTATTATATTTATCTACCCAGAGTCACCCAACGCCTCCAACCTGAAGATCTCCCGTATGGATAAGACCTCTGGGTCTGTGCTGGGAGGGGATGAGATCTTCCTACTGTGTGACAAAGTACAAAAAGGTGAGGGGGTAGTTCAGCCCACACTGATTTTACAATAGTTTGCCAGGAAACAATTTACACAATTTCATCCATTATCATATTTTGTTCTACTTTTCAGATGATATTGAGATCCGCTTTTATGAGGAGGATGGAAGCTGGGAGGCCTTTGGTGACTTCTCTCCAACTGATGTCCACAAGCAGGTACAGAGTCTTTACTCAGTGTGAAGTGAGAGTGTGTGTCAGGGGGGATTTTGTGTGAGTAATAAGTATTGGTATTCTTGTAAATATTTGGCAACAGTTGACTCCACACCATGTATGATCTTACTCATACCCCTCTCATATATGTCACTGTTTGGGTCCCTACCTGTGCAGTACGCCATCGTGTTCAAGACGCCCCCGTACCACAGCACAGAGATCGATCGTTCAGTCACTGTATTCCTCCAGTTGAAAAGGAAGAAAGTGGGAGACTGCAGCGACCCCAAGCAGTTTACCTATGTTCCTCAAGTTCAAGGTGAGTTAGTCTGCTACTCACAGTCCCTTCTGCAAGAGAGAACAATGATGAAATACAGAGCCAGAGGTCCCATTGGATTGAATCGAACCCTTTTAACTCTTTCTCTTCCCCTCTCCCTCTCACTTCGTCTCTCTCCATCTCTCCTCTGTGTGTGTAACTTAGATAAAGAGGAGGTGCAGCGTAAGAAGCAGAAGCCCCTCCCCTATAATGACCAATGGAGAGGAGCTGGGGGGGCAGGGAGAGGGGCTGGAGGATTTGGAGGAGCCGGAGAAGGTGGTGGTGAGGAACCTAGATCTACATACTTGAACTCTGAACTTTCTTTTCTGTCAGCCCTTCATCTCGTTTCTATCAGATTAAATGCTGGCCTCATCCGTTAACCCTTGTGACAACTATGTCATCATCACTAAATCATTTCTTTCCTATCCACAGGCTTCCAGTTTAACCAGCAGATTAATGGATCTGGGTGGATGGGGGGTGGATTCACCGGTTTTGGGGGAGGTGGAGCCCAGATGTCAGGCACCACTGCCCTGGCTGAGGGTACCCAGCAGCAGCAGCAGGCAGGAGGGATGGCTGGACAGACGCCAGGACAGACGCCAGGACAGACAGCCTCACCACTACAACAGCAACTCTTCCAGATTGGTAAGCCACATTATAGCAGTGCTGGGGCAGGGGAAACTAGAGTTAGCTAGCTAGATGTTGGAGAAATTGTCATAAGAGTTGTGTTATGCTAATGTTGTGACTATCCTGTTGTTTCCAGCTGCCACTCTCCAGAGCAGGGCCACTCGGATGACCAAGCAGACAGCTGGGGCTCTCTTACAGTACTGTACCACTGGGGACGTCCGGGTCCTTCTGGCAATGCAGAGACACCTATGTGGGGTCCAGGATGAAAACGGAGATACGTGAGTCTAACTCCGCCTCTACTGCACATCAGTACAAGTTTTTGAGGATCTGAGTTGAGTGTCTGCCTCCATTATCTATACATTACACTGTACATGCTGTGTGTTTGTATTGAGTTTGCTGTGCTCAATTGTGTGTTCTGTCTCCCCGCAGGCCTTTGCACCTGGCCATCATTCACCAGCAGTCAGCTGTGATCCAGCAGCTGGTTCATACACTCATCACCATTCAGCAACGCAAAGTCCTCGACAAGCTCAACCACCTCAGCCAGGTATTGACCCTTCTGCCACACACCTGGGCTGGACTGAAGTTTAGAAGATGGACTATAGAATATTTGCATACAAACATACAAAGCGCACACAGACTTATTTTTTTGGAAGACTAGAATATGTTTTAGGTCTACCTAGTAGTACAGTTAGGGGTTGTTTATTGGGCTATACCAATAGTTGTTCAATGTTGAAGTGATATTCACAACATGCCCTTGTCTTCCCTCCTGACTGTGTCTGCCATCTCTCTCTGAAGACTCCTCTCCATCTGGCGGTGATCACCAGACAGGTTAAGGTGGTGGATGCTCTCCTGAGGGCCGGGGCTGACCCCAGCCTGCTGGACCGGGACGGCCGGACCCCCCTGCACCTGGCAGCACTGGCCGGGGACGACGTCACACTCCGGGTCCTGCTGGGGCACCTAGGAGAACGCTATACCCACCTGGTCAACATGGTTGACTATCATGGTGAGTTGGGATGGTGGAAAGAAGGGGGTAATCTGAGTTTATTCCGCCCATGAGACTTTAGCATGATAAGTAGACAGTTGGTCTAATTTTAACCCTATGTGAATGATCAACTAAGCAATGGTGCAATTTATTGTTGCGGTTTAGGATTGGGATTCAATCCAATCTGTGTTATAACGCCTTGACATTTAAAGGTCATTTCCGATTGAGCCGGCATATGCAGCAAGCATTTACCGTGAATGTGATCTCCCCGTAAAACGCGGGAACAATGCCTTTTTAAAAGACGCCTTGTCTACAAGCGCGATCGGATTGAATCCCGGCCTAAGACTCACTATGTGCTTATTACTGTAGTAGACGGTATTCATCTCTCTAAATTCCCTCTCCTTCTCAGGTCTCCATCCTCTCCACCTGGCTGTTCGTAAGGGAGGAGAGCGCTGTCTGCGTCTGCTGGTAGAGGGCGGGGCTAAGATCAACGCCCCCGAGCAGAAGAGTGGATGCTCCGCCCTCCACCTGGCTGTTAGAGAGAACCTTTTGAAAGTGGCCTGCACTCTCATCACAGAGGTACCTTACTTGACGCACAGTGCACACACGCGCCTTATATAAACTGTGCTACTGTTCTTACTCAGACTCTGTTTCTCTGTTATCTAACCTGTGGCGTTCCCTCCTCTCCTGTCCTACAGCTGAAAGCAGATGTAAACGTGTGTACATTTGGATGGAACACTCCTCTCCATCTGGCTGCCAGTCAGGGCTCCCCCACTCTCTGCGCCATGCTCATTGCTGCAGGTGAGATGCATACCCCCTACCAACTATCCAATGCATGACATATGTACACCATGTTTTTACCTCAGTCAGTTACATAGGGGCTACAACGAAGTCAAGATTCAAGTGTGTGAGCAGTCATTTATTGTGGATCACCAGGTTTTTTGCTTTGGAAAAGTGTCTGCTAAATGGCTACTAAATGAACGTGAATAGAACGCAAATAAAACACTAACGACTTTCCTCTCCTCAGGAGCCGATAAGAATCTGGAGAATGATGAGCCGCTCTTCTTCAGCTCCTCTTCGTCAGATGAGGAGCAGGAGGATGGACCAATAAGAGATTTCAGAGAGTTACAGATCCAACAGCTACCAAACACACCACCACCGTTGGAGAAGGAACAAGTCAACCCTCGTAAGAGACCAGCAACAGGACATACACCCTTTGACCTGACTAAATGTCAAAAGGTGAGATTGATTAGTCTTATCAACCCAACATTTATGTGTCGAAAAAGTGATTAAAACAGAACATGCTGTAGTGTCTGTGGTGTGGATAGAGGCTGTACTGAGGTTGCTGCCATTGAACATACATAAATCTTCCCCTGCTACAGGTGAGAAACCTTCTAGACTCCAGACAGAGTCCCAAGCCCAGCCAACACTCAAGTAAAAAGCCTAAACCAAGCAGCACAGAAGGTAAGAGAACGGTCATACCACCGTTTTGACTCTGAACATTATCTGAGATCTATCCAGTAATCTAACCACTGTTCCCATTCCCCTCAGCAGAAAGTGAGCAGCTAGACAGTGAGACGCTCCATAAACTGTGTGAGCTCCTCAGTCTGGGCGATGTGCCCTGGAGACAGCTGGCAGAGAAACTCAACATGCTCTCACTGGCACACCTGTACCAGGAGAGTCCCTCTCCCTGCTACAGGCTGCTGGAGAATTACAAGGTGAGCAAGGGGGGCTGTGTGCGTCTGTCTAGTAAGGGGGTAAATATTAAGTATGCTGTTAGAATGGCATGACTGTGCTTGAAGAGAATAAAGCTGATGGTTCCTGAGTGTGTGAGTTGACAGTATCTCTCTCTCTCTCTGTGTGTAGTTGGGTGGCGGTCCAGTGGAAGGACTGGTGGAGGCTCTGCAGTCTCTGGGTCTGACTGAAGGAGTGAGACTACTGAGACGGGCTGAGCTGAGAGAGGACAAACAGAACACAGGTACTAGCGCTAAAACAGTCATAAACAATGCCCCAGCACACACATAGACATTATCAGTCTCTCTCTCTCTACCATACACTTATTCCATTGCAAAGACATACTGAATATAGAAGTTCCTTCCCAAATGTTATTTACTCTGTTTATGCCTAATATGAAATGAGACATAATAACCATCCTCACTCTGCCAATCAGATCAGACAGTGGACAGCGGCTTTGGGAGTCAGCCAATGGAGGAGCCAGCCTTGGCCAACCAGTGATCACCAGGAATGGTGAGGGGTAGGACCAGCTCTGTGGGTGGGACCCTGTGTGAACAAGGTTTCAGTCCAGCATTTCATCTTGATTGAGATATAACAAACCCTGTTCAGCACACCCTATGGGAAACCATTGGGAATCTGATGTCATACCAGAGCCTTTGCTGATGAATGCAGAATTCTCTCTGCCGTGACTGTGCAACATTGACGGGTTGACAACTCAGAATGGATAGAACCTTGTTGTGCATCCAGATAGATGTTCTTGTACATTATTTTTCTCATGCAGACAGTTTGTTTCCTTCAGCTCTCTAAGGAAAACTCAGTCTCAATATGTACAATAATTATAAGTGGCCTCATATCTCCTTACATTATTTCTGATGGTGAAAGTTGACAAAAGATAATAGGTGTGTCTTTTTAATGGTCCATTGGAGCCTTCCAAAAAGTCAAAGTATAAATAAGAATTTCTAAAATATGCAATGTCAAATTGTTGAATGGAATTATGAATCAATTTCACACAAATATTTATTGGCTGACAATCTTACTAATACTGTGTATTAATTTGGTTTAACATTTAACCAAATATAATTGTACAGCCATATTGCAGATGTATGTGGAAAGTTTGCGAGTGTATTTGCTCTGTAATGTTTTAACTATATCTTGTCGTTGTTGAATTAAATGCATTTTTCTCCTGACACAATGGGGTCTTTTCAAAATGTGTTTATTTTTGTCCTCTATGCCTCCAAAAGATACAAACCATTTAGTATATTTGACTGAGAGCAAAATCTTAGTGTTATTGACAATATGTAGAGCTAATCAAGGAAAATGTATAGAAATAAGTTGCATGTTTTAGCATTCAGTTGCAGTGTGTCTTTGGGGAGTGAGTCCAGTAAAAACCTGTACAGAAATAGCAGTATACATTTTTGACAGTGACAAATACTCAACAAGACCAAGTTAACTGGTAAGCAAATAAAAAGTAAGATATTTTACTTCTCAACACTAGGCCCTAACCCAAAGTGCAAAATGGTGTGATAAGTTATAAACCATGTGTTCAATGACATTAAAGACCTACTCAAAAGTGCCTTGACGCTACTCTAGCCTTTAGGTCTACTGTTGATCTATGGTCCCTCACCATACCACCTCACATATTCACACTGTGGGAGCGAGACTCACCCAAAAGTGATTGTGGCATTCTGCATGACTGAACATATCATGCCTCACCCTGTCATGGTCCCCATAGAATTACACTGACAGCCAATGTTGCTAATTTGAACAACTGGGTTTGAACCCTCTCCTCTGCGCAACACAAGACTGTGTTCGCCCACTGAGCTAAAGCCAAGGTAACAGTTCAAGATGCAAACATATGTCTTTAGGTTTCAGGCAAGGGTACTCATCACAGAACCATCTTCATTACACTAACACATACTTCTGCCATGTTGTGAGGTTACATTCTAACTGCCTAATTCAACAACATAATCATAACACCATCAATCTCATACTATTGGATCATCTATTTCACCTTGGTCACATTTTAACACGGGAAAGTAAAGCAGTAAGATTTCACTCTGGCTGCGTTTACACAGGCAGCCCACTTCTGAGTTTTTAAATTGTTTATAATTGGTCTTTTGACCAATCAGATCAGCTCTGAAAAATATCTGATGTGAAAAGATCTGACGTGATTGGTCAAAAGACCAATTAGTGGAAAACAATATCATAATTAGGCTGCCAGTGTAAATGCAGCCTCTGGGTCCATGATGACACCAAGATAAATACTGTATCATACAGTCAAGTCACTCTTACCACCTGAGACCATCGTTTCCCATTGGAACAGCACCCTTTCGTGGCCATATTGTGGCATTACTGCACTGGTTTACAGACAACACTGCCAGCCTGAGAAGAAAATGGCTATGCCACACACATTCTATATATTTTTTACACACATTACATTATTTTATACAATATATTGGGTGTGGTAGGCAGTGCCTCTTCATTTTCTTTCATTACAATTCATGATACTGAATTTAAATCAACATTCGAATTAATTTGTCATCACTTTCAAACGAGTGTTTGACATACAGCTGAGATGTACTGTAAACTAAGCTTTCTGTCATGTTTCATTTTCAGTTGTACAAATGCAAAACACCATGTGAATAACATAAGAATAAAAAAAAACAATTGTCTTTTGATATCATAGTGAAGCATGTCCTCGAAGAGTGAGTCATCCTTCTCCTGATATGCATGCAGTTCTCCTACTCTTCAAAGTTAATTAAACTGACAGATAGCCAGCCTGTGTGATCAATCTACTTCATCAACCCATTAGTATGACAAATCACTCGGTGCCATAGCGGATTTGTGTAAAAGGTCTTTAGAAATAATGAGATCCAGCAGAGCTTCACAGTTACTCAAACAGGGCCTGGTTCTGGATCAGTGCAGTTTGTCACAAGAAAAGTCCTTAGAATAACAAAATCATAGCAAAGACTTTGAAAACTAAATTAGTATGTGCATGCAGCATCATAAATTATGTCCAGTAACCTTTATATTCTTTCCATTTTATCATGTCTCATGAAGAATACAGTGTTTCTTCCAGTTTCCTCCAAATGCATCGTGGGTTGGTAGGGGTCCTGACATGGGCACGGGCTCCCTTTAGTCTCCATGAGAACAGTTAGATGAGCTGATGCAGTTCTGTCTCTGTCCCTCTTAGATGGTCGGCAAGAGGTGGGCTGTGCAGTAATGACATAGATGTAATGGATAGATACTGAACTCTCGTGGAGGGAAAACAACCTACACCTCTTAACAAAACCAGATCTAATGGCTGATTTAACGTAATATTCAGATCTCTGTCTCTTATCTGTCAACAAGAATTTGGTCCAAAAGCATTTTCAAATAAAATAAATGTGGATATGACCAGTGATGTAAGACCACACAGAAGTTAGTCATTTGTATAGTAAAATGGGTGTCCACTGTACTGTATCATTAGCCCTGGAGCATCCAGAGTCTGTGGTTTCTCGGGATAGAAGCATGCAACAGGTCTATCCCCGCCATTATCATTCTCCTCCCCACCATTTTCCAGTCATGGAGACCGGGCACACCAGTGGTCCCTGTGTATCGATCAACACGGATAGTACAATCGTTTAAACCACCCTGTCCACCCCAACAGCCTCCAGGGTCCCTCTCACTGTTTGACAGCCTGTCTGTAGCTGTGTCTCTGGGGCTCGGAGCGCTTGTTCTTGCTGCTCCCCCTGGTGCTGGAACTACTGCTGCTGCCCCCACCCTTAGCACTGCTGGCCTGGCTACTGGTGCTGTGCTCCTCCCGCAGAGTGGGGCTGGAGTGGGCCCTCTGGAGACCCCCATCGTCAAAGAGGCGCGACTCGAACAAAGACAGGTCCTCTTCCCCACTCCGGATCTTAGACCTTAGTAGCATGGCGTAAGTCCCATAGCGAGTTTTCTGTGCCAGAGAGAGAGAGAGTACTTGATGTCAAACAGGATTCTGCATTGCTGAGATCAGAGCCATTGTTTGGCAGTAAAGTTTGGCAATCTGTCCTGGAATCTGGCACCAAGCAAAAGCAATCTAATTTCCATTCTGGCTGACCTGGAATGGAATTGTCTTGAAACATTTGGTAGCCAATTTGGCAGCCATTAAAATTCTGAATATCAAACAAACTCAGTCTGCCAAACTCGGCTCGACTACGGCTCTGGCTGCAACTATTCAGTTGTGGCAACTATCAATCCCTATCACTATATTTAACCAGACAACAACAACAACAACAACAATCCCTCACCTCAAATTCCAGGTACTCCTCACGTTGCTTGTGCTCCTCCAGATCACGAACTTTGGCCTTTTTGTCTGGAATTACAGCAGTTAGCTCGTTCAGCTCAGAGGAGATGGCCCGGAAACGTGTCTCATGGGATTTCACTTGTTCCTCCTGTCAGTGCACATGGCAAAGGAGGACCATGAACATAAGGCTACACCAAAGTCAGTAACTCAAACAGAATTCAACATGGAGGCCATTTTAGTTATTTTATGGTTGTAAATTGCAGTTCTTCTCTGTTTTTAACACAAAAAGAGGTATACAGCAGTGTGTCTTTAATGATCTGTCTTTAGTAGACAAGTTTCTACAATTTTTTGGGTTGATCTCTCTACGGTACAGATACTGGATGGCAGTAATGGGTTTGGGCTGGGAGCTAGTATGGGGAAGCAGAGAGAGAGAGAAAGAGAGGTTCATGGTGTGAGTGGAGGCCTCTGTGTACCTGAGACAGTTTGGTGTTGGAGCCTGGCAGCAGCGGGCGGCTGAATTTCTTCTGGGAGCCGATGGCAGCAGGGAAGGGTGGCGCTGAGAACATAGCTGACACTACGTTGATACGGGTGATCCACGACTGCATCTGCTCTGCATTACTGAGATGGAGGACAACAGAGTTAAAATCTGGATACTGACTATCAGAATAAAGGCCACAATTACCAGCCCCAGAACACAGAAAAAAGGCAACTAATAGAAACAGGCATGTAGACAGGCTTAGGGTCAGTTATCAATTGAAGAAGAGTGACACTTATTTTCAATTAGGACGTTTTTATTAACTTCCTAAATTGAAATGGAATTTCATCCCAACCCTGAAAGAAAGCGTGTATCTAGGACATCCCAGACAACTGTGTCCTCCAGGGACACAGAAGCATCATAATCCTCTACCTGAACCTGGGGCTCTATGACAGGGGCACTGCCCACTCTATACTCAATCACTACTGTTTTGGGGGCACTTAGTACAGCTTTAGTACAGTACTGCCTTGTAGACAGCAGAAAGAGTAACGACCAAGGCTAATACAGAGCACAGAATTGGGTCAGATAACTACATTCTTAGTCATATGGAATTAAAGAGGTGGACTTGGTGGAGATAAGAAATGGGTGGAGGAGGGTGGGGATGAGGAATGGGTGGAGGTGGCGGAGGAGGATGAGGAGTCTCACGGTGCTTGGAAGAGGAACACTCTCCAGTCTGCAGTGCGCAGGTAAAACACGTTGGGCCTCTTGCTGTAGTCTGCTGCCCTCATGGCCAGAGAGTGGTGGATGGACACAGCGTTCTTCAGATCCTCTTCAGACAGCTGCTTATCTGGACGGTACTCTCCCTACGGACCAATTAAAGAGCAGAATGCTATCATACACATCCAATAAGAGACTGGGATAAAAGGATGGTGGGAGGGGTGTGGTTTGGCGTACCTTCTGCAGGTAAAGGACCAATCCCTTCAGCATGACATAAAACGTCTTCCATCCTCTCTTACCTCGAGGGGCTGAAAAACAGATAATAGAAACAAAGTAAATATCCACTCAGTTTTTGCTGCTCCCAAGTCTGATTTTTAATAAAACGTAGAAATAGTACAGCAATGTTTAGATTGACATGGTCAGATTTATCAACAGTGAAATGGAACATATATGGTTAACATGTGAAAGGTGACAGGGGAGGGTAGAGGGAACCTACTTTTCTTGCCGTCAGAGTCTGCGTGGACCTTCCGCACCAGGAAGCCATTCTTATAGATCAGGGCATCAGGATTCTGGGCCACGCCTAGACCACTGCCGATTCGCTTCATGGTGTGGGAGGCGGAGTCAGTGCGCAAATCGGCCAACTCTGAAAAGGACTTGCGCAACTCCTCCTCGTCGCTATGGAGAGGATACAATTCAAATACAAATGTTACATCACTAATCATCAACAAAACCTGCTAGTCTCAAACTCTTTTAAGTAATCTCCTCCAGTTAAGATCTAGTATGAATGAATGATCAGTCCTAATAGCTTGGAGGTGAGAAGGCCATGTCTTAATCCACTCAGCATGCCACTCTTGTGAGAGCCTCTGAATTTCAGGGTCACTGGCTGTCTGTCACCCACGCTGAGAGGTCACATCCCATGATGCTCCCGCTGAGCAGCTTGCTTACATCTTACTGGCGAATCACAGAGAAAGGTTCACCAAGTTTCTAACAACTGAAACCCTGCTCAAAACCCTGCCACTGAACACTGATAGAACTCACTTTGACAAGCATGAACATTATGCCAAACATGGCTAATATCTCATCCAGTCACTTATCATTCAGATATCTATAATTCATTTCTTACATAAAAAATGGTTTTGCTGTAAGAGGAACAATCCTGATCGGTATGAGTGGTGAGTGACTCACTATCTGTTAGATAACAGGTCCTGGCATCTCTTTGACTGACTGTGATGCCCTTTTCCCGTGAACTGAGGGGTCCGAGTGTTCCATGATGCTATAAGAAAGAATCCTACAGTACTGACATTTGGGGAGGATGGTGTCTCCCGCCCACTGAAGACACTGACTGAATGCAGATCAGTACACCAGTGAAGCCTTGCAGCTGCTCCCATAAACATTCATTAATGTATGAGCTTGAAATTGCTGTTAGTCAGAGGGGGAGTGCTGCTGCGTCACACTGTCCTGACTGTACTGTCCTCCTCCTCCATCTCTCTGCTAGACACACTCAGATATGTACATAAAGGCGAATGCAGACACATCGATCTTTAAGATGAAATCATCAACTGTCACAGAAGTCACATATCTATGGACACAAACCAGAAACATGAACACAAACACACATGCATGCATGCACGCAGTCTGCCTATCCTTTGCTTGTGCATGCGGTTCAATCTAACACTCTTTGGTGTGATGCTACCCAGGACCCATGGGATTTGTGTCTTAAAAGTACTCTGTCGCTCACCTCCGCTCTCTATCGATCTTTCTTTCATCATATTGCTCACAATATCTTCTCAAAGCCATAGCCTGCAGGTATCATGCATTATGATGCAGTTATAATGCATTGTAAGACTTATCATAAGGATGTGTAACCCCCTTATAACGTCTTATATAATCACCTCGTGATTTTGACAAAATAACAGCCAATTTGAGTCAGTTGCAATATTAATGCATAAAGACAATACAATAAGCTTTTATGTTAGAAATAAAGGTTTATAAAATGCTTATAAACAAGTTATAAATTATACCCGCAGGTAAAATGTTTAGTGTTACAAAATGTTATCAATGTAGCTTTAAAAAGACACTGCATAGACTGAGAAACTAACCACTTGTGTTGCAGCTGCTAGGTATATTCTGAACAGTGAACCGACCAACTCAGCACATACTGTACTATACACCAAAGCTCTCATCTGTTGCTAAGTAACTGCTGACCTCTCTGAATCCACAAGAGCAAGTAGTGGAGAGGAGAGGTGCAGAGAGAGAAAAACAGGGCGAGGGAGGCGAAAGTGAAATACAGAGCAAGAAAGAAAAAAGGAGAGAGGGGAGGCTACAGGCAGAAAAACAAGGATAGAGCAGAGAATAGAGAGCAAGGCACATGGTGAGCGTTTGGATGTTGGGACTGGGAAGATTAAATCAGTGGTGCAGAGTGAACGGGAATGTGAGAGAAGATGCTGCTCCCATTGCTCTCCTTCAGAGGCTGACTGAACCCCTAAAAGTGTGTGCGTGCTGTATGTGTTTGCGTGTGCATGTTTGCGCTTTAGAATTGGAGTGAGACATTGACCTGTAATTACAGAGAGGCAAGTAGGGACATGTATCCATGGCAACAAAGTCTGGATTGCTTATGTCTTCAATTAGGGGCTCAGGGCATCACAAAGACTAGTTCCAGAATAGCAACCCTTGGCGCACACACAGTCTGGCAAATGCTACCGGGGCACAATTGGTAGTTGATTCTATAGGGGGAAAATTGCTTGTAGACTGATTTCAAGTAGATTTGCAGTTAATTCCAATAATGAATATCTGATATGCTGAGAGCCTTTTTCAATCCAACACATTTTGTAACATTGAGATAATTAATCCAAATAGGATATGAATCATTATTCAGGAAACCTTAAACAGCAGTTTTAATTGAATAAGGCAAGAATACACAAATAAAGTCAGACATACACGTATGCCCATAGTTTCATGAGAACAAAAACATCCTTCGTATGCAAAGAGCACTTACATGGTCCACTGGAGCTTCTCATTTCTGATGGAGTTGTACAAGGCCTACAGAAAAAGACAAGACAAAACAAACCTCACACATTTGAAAAACGTGTGCGTGTGTGTGTGTGTGTGTGTGCGGAATATGTAATGAGTGTGGAGGGACCGTTGGGCATCCTACTACTTGTGTGACAACAATCAATAGAAGTCCTGAATAAACCAGTTCACATTGATCATATTAGTCACGCTAACCACAACAAGCCTGCTGTTTCGACCAAATTAAACCACACAAATGTACCCTGCATTTTCCAAGCTGTGCCTTCTTCTTGCGGGCCTGTGGGTGGTTCTGTCCATCCTGGGACCTTCCCAGCAGGTCAGGGAAGGACAAGGGTTTGAGGGAACGAGAGCGAGGGGCGCGGGGGTAGCGGAAGGGGTCCATCACCCGGAAGTCCCGCCGAACACGCACAGAGCAAAGAGAGCGGGAGCGATTCCGCCCATCAGAGTGGATGCTGTTTACACCAATCATGATAATGCACAAATGGGAGCAGAGTCCAGAGGATAAGAGATTGTAGAGGGATGGATAATGCGAGATAATCCCTTTTCTCTCCACGGATTCTGTATATGGCCTCTTTCGAAGCTTAACACCAAAACGTAGAGATTCAGTTGAAGGTAAAGATAGGAGAGCGAGAGAGAGGTGGCTCTCAGACACTTTGCCACTGGTGGTTGACAACGGGGGTCTGTCTTACGAACAGCGCTTCACTGGACTATTGAGGAAACTACTGATTAGGTTAACATGGGCCTCAAGCCCTCCGATGGGACTCCAGTTCCTGCATAATGGATCCATATGCATTCATTATGTATGTATGGAGAAACAGTGGTGTGCAACTGCCTCTTGCTGTGGCATCATTCTGTGTCAAGTCTATGAAGGTGGAGGTCTTTCTGGAAGGATGTAATGCAGTTGCCAATATGCTATTCAAGAGCTGGTACATACATACAGATCCACCATACACTCCGTAACAACTAATGATACTCAAGAGTCACACAAAACACACAGACCTATGCACTTACATACACACACAGGTGAACAACATCCCAGTTAACGAGGCCGAAGGATGACTAGACGACCATAACAACCATGAGACAGCAGTGAGCAAGCGAGCAACTGAGTTTACCCGCACAAACATCAGCACACACACTCCCAACACACACTCACACACTCCCAACACACACTCACACACACACCAAACCAGATAGAGCGGGTGGAGGGAGAGAATTCCACCCACTCACTTGCAGGCAAGCTGTCAAAGAGAACGCTCAAACTGACGCCACCTCACGTCCTATTGGAACTAACAACATGTATCCAAGGCTTGACAATACAGATGCTGTATCCAAGGCAGTACAGATGTTGGAGACTCGGACTATCCTGTTGCTCTCTAATAATGACAGGCTGGTGCCTTGATGATGAGGGACTGAACAGGTCCCCTCCCGCTCTCTCCCTCTCCCTCTCTCTTTGTTCTGTCCGTTCCTAGATCCTCTCCTCTTTACTGGTTCGTCTTCAAACTTGTAAATAGTTCTCACGCATCCACTTATTTCTTCTCCGTATGCGTCAATCTCTATTTCCCTCAGAAAATCCCTCTATATGCGAGTCGGGAGAGAATATTGCGTCTGTGCTTCGCACTCCTTTCATCTCCCTCTTTTCAATAACTGCTGTTCTATTTCCCTGTGTGCTGCAGATGAAAAAACAGACTGAATCACAGTGACAAAAGAAAGCTAATGATGAGAACCAAGAGCTCCCTCTCTCTCCTCACTCTCTCCCTCCCCTCTCTTTTTCCATATCTCTCCCTCTCTCTCTCTCAATGCGCATTTCTCTCCGGCTGAGCAGCAAATCCCGGTTCATGTTTCTGTTCAGATCCCTCCCTCCTTTTAGTGTCAATCATTTGCCTCCATATCACTGTTTTCTTAAAATGCAGGTATTTTTCACACTCCATTTCCACCAGTCTAACAGTGTAAAAGAAAGGAATGCTCAGTCCAGGTACAATTATGATGTACAATGGTGCCTTTATAATACAGTAATTAATAGTCTTTGGAAGAAATCTGCCTTCCAGATAATGCAACTATTTTGTGGGCTGAGATGTAGGCTATACAAAGAGGACAGAAAATGATAACCTATGGGATGAGGAATGTATAGAACATAATGTAAAACCATTAAACAGAAACTCACTGCGAAATGCGCACGCACACACGCACGCACACACGCGCCAAAATAATCATAAACTCCTGATTGAGAACTAACATTTCCAGGTCACTGAATAATCCTCTGGAAGGTAGCCTGTCAGATAGAGATCTCTCACAGTCTGGTCGGTCCACTGGGATGGTAGGGGGGTTGACATTCATACAGAGGTGCTATTCCATCCAGCCCAAAATGAAAAGAAGCAGCGGTCTTATCAGAGGATGACTAGTTCTGCTTATTTACTCAGCAGCTCTACCAAAATTTGTTTGACATTTATCAGGCCCGTGTTCAGCAGCACTACTCTCTCTGACCTTACCCATCCACTCTCCTGCACCTGTTCCTCTACCTCTTGTTAAGACTGGCCTTGCTCTTACCTTGTTTCAACTCATCTGTTTGTTTCAACTCATCTGTTTGTTTCTAGTCCAATCCAGCGGAATACAATTAAGAAAATGGAAGGAGCTCCTAAAATGATTGCTCAAAAAGTAATAGCCTGATTATACATGATACATCATATTGAGTAGTGTGTCTCTTCCCCCTCATGAGACAGTCTGCACCTGAAGTAATGTTCTTTCTCAGCATTGCAAAGCCATCAGTGTCTTAGCGCTTATAGCACTGATGGATTTGGCTACATTCAACTGGAGGCTAAAATACAAAGGAATTCATCATGTTGACAGGGCTTTACTTCTTACCCTTACACTGTTTTTTTGCCTGAGTTCAATTGCTCTGCCTCAAATTGACCCCCTATGCACTTGAAAGGATTGGATAGGATTGGATACCTAGCCTAGAGGTTAAGGTGGAGCCATTTCCATACTGCTTATACCTAGCCTACCTTTTCAGATCTACATAACTGCATACAAGGTAGGGGCAGTGGTTGTTTTGGGATTGGGCATATATATTTTAGGGCAGTCTATCTAAATCAATCTGATCAATCTATCCCATTGAAGTGGATATTCCGGGTCTGAACAGTGTGACATGCTGCTTGTGGGAAGCAAAGTGAACCTCTCCACTGTAATGAGTTGTGTTAATATGCACCACAGCAACAGAGAACTATGCCCTTGGCACCCAGAGAAAAACATGGAAATGTACACTTTATTATTTTATTTTAGTCATTTAGCAGACACTCTTATCCAGCGCGACTTACAGTAGTGAGTGCATACATTTTCATACACCACACTGTCCGCATTAGCATTACCCGCATAATCACCACCCAACAGACACATTAACATTACTGTACACAAAATACTGACAACAAGGTTATGAAAAGAGAGGATATGGAGAATAATATGGAGAGGAAGAAAGAGAGCGAGTCAAAGAAAGAGAAAGAAAGGGAGGAAGCAGCGAGTGAGAAAGACACAGAGAGTGATTTGTAACGCCTGTCTGATAACGTCATGACAAAACGCTCATCACAGCAGGGGGTACCATGTGACAGCCAAATTCCCATTTCCTGAGAGGCCTGTCCTCCCTCTCACCCATCACCAGTCATTTACCATATGAGCCCTGCCCCATTGACTACTGTACTGTACCAGCCTCCTCTCTCTGCACCAATAGACACAGACACACACCTGTTGACCTAGACAATCTCTCTGAGTGTTGCTTTAATACCCCTAACAGACCAGCACAATCCATTACAGAGGGAGAGATGGATGATGAAAGACGGATGGATGGATGATGAAAAACATCAGATGGATGAAGATACAGTATGATGAAGAGATGGATATGTCAATCGGTCAGTCGGTCGTGAAAGATAGTGACGCAGAAGAGACAAACAAAAGGTGGATTGCAGAGCGTCCCGTAATATTTCATCATTGTGATATCTCAGCTGTGCTATGAAAAGTTAACTGAGAGTCTGAGGAGGAACAACGTTTGACCATCTCTGTGGGCAGCTGGGCTGAGCTCCCACAGAGGTAGGTGGAACAGAGAGGTAAGAGGAGCAACAGAGGTATACGACAGAGGGAGAGAGAGGAGAGAGAGAGAGAGAGAGAGATAGAGTAGAGAGACGAGAGAGATCTCGAGAGAGCGATGATCGAACTGAGATCAGAGCGTCTGGACTCTCTTCTTCTCCCTTGTATCTCCCTCTTTCCTGTCGTCTCCTCTCCATCTCTTCCCGCGCTCTCTCTCGACTCGTCCTCGCCCTCTCCCTCGGGGGTCACGGCTTCCTGACTCGCCTCCGCCTTTCCCTCGGCACTTTCCCTCCACTCAGTTACGGACGATGAGTCCTGAGAAAGTCCACCGTTCGATGGAAGAGAGAGAGAGAGTGAAAGAGAGAGAGACGAGAATGACGGGAGAAGAGAGGAAGACGTCAATGAGGAGGACGAGAGAGGAGAGTCGAGAGTGAGAGGAGATGGAGAGAGAGTGAATGGAGGAGAGAAAGAATAATACCTCCTCCTTGAATGAAACTGGAGAATGAGGGAAGATACAACAGCTCAGATGGTGTTCTACCATTTCATTTTTAAAGCGAATTTCAGTAAGAAGAAGAAAATACATAATGCGGAGGGAGTAAAGGACACCAGAGGGGAGTTAGTTTGAGCTTGCATGCTCTTCATACGATGACGGCTTGAAATCAGGGACTAAGAGAGTGAAGGGCAAAGGAGGGGAAAGTGGGAGAAAAAATCTTCTAACGCTACCTGACCTCATGGGTATAACAATCATGGTTTCTGTTAGCAACCAAGCCCACTGGCAGGTGGTTCAAAACCACATTAATATCCTTATTTTTTAAAGACAGAAACCCCTTCCACTACAACAGGAAAATACCTTATGCGAGCCCCCATTTCCCATGAAAATGGACACTTCTTTAATTCTGAAAGGGTAAAAACAACCTTTAACCACCTGTTCAAGGACCCCTCGAAAAACAACTTTAGGCTGTATTTCAAGTATGGATAAGTTATTCTGTTTAAACAAACCTAGGGCCAAGACGTTTCTCCTGTTCATGAACCGGCTATCTTTATCAAGAGATTCCCTGTGGTTAATGGTTCAAAACCAATTCCCACTGTGCGCACGTCTGGTGCTTCAACCACATTACTATATAGGTCTGTTTTTGAAATAATTCAACAGTGGCACAGGTCCTTATGTTACCTTGGTTGATAAACAGGAACATCTCTTTCCAATTGAAGAGAGAAATAAGCACCTTTACTCACACTGTCTGCTAAGGACCCCTCGAAGAACAATTAGGTCTGTATTAATGTTATAGGGAATGTTATGTATTATAAGCTTTTTTCCCCCGGCCAATGGTCTATTTTTACCAGAGAACTTGCCAGTCGTTACCCACATTCAACATGTGCCTCCAGGCCATCCTGGCCCCATCTTCACCCACAGATGACTGCAGTTGGCCATGCAGGTCGTGTGGCACGCTATTCAGGAGGAAAGAGTAGAGCGATTCGACACGCAGGAAGCCCCTGAGGATCAGAAGAGCGTTTGAAGACCGAGAGAGAGAGAGCAGAAGGATGCAGGGCCTGAGAGAGAGGAGCACAGGAGAGAGATGAGAAGACGAGAGAGAAGATGGAAGAGATCTGAGAAGAGAGAGATGATAGAGCAGATGAGTATGAGAGATATATTGGAGAACGCTCTATACTGAGCCTCTAAGTCTATATAGCTCTCTATAGATCTCTCTCTCTTCTATCGTCCACTCTCATCTCTATATATCCTTCCTAGAGAGAGAGAGAGAGAGAGAGAGAGGAGAGAGAGAGAGAGAGAGAGAGATGTTTCAGTGAGTTCTAGTGCAATATCAGCATAAGAGTGCCCCACAGTGGCATATATCGGTAATATGTCTCTTTGTTAAAAAGCCTTAAACTGTAACCACTTCTTACCTTCAGAAGGTATTGCATTGGGGTTGCATTGTAGATATCTCCTAGAGAAGTGGGCCAGCACCCGCTCTCTCTCTTGTGTCTCTCCAATGAGGGCAAACTCCCTCAGGAAGGCTCTGTGGAAGACATACAGCATTGTGAGTGTTCACCATTCATTCAAAAAAATAACTTGGACATTATGGTACATATTTTGACAATTTCCACTGAAAGAGATCTCACCGTAGTGCCTGGTCAATAGTAAGGCCTGAGAAGTTGAAGTAACTGAGATATTCCTCTGCCACCATCCGACTAAACTCATTACTGCAGAATGACAAAATACAGACAATTAGACCAGTCAAACCAAAGATATCAAAACAGTCTTTTACTGTAATTATCTATTGTATTAAGCAACACATATACGAGAACACGCATATACGCACACACAGTGGTGGAAAAAGTATCCAATTGTCATACTTGAGTAAAAGTAAAGATACCTTAATAGAAAATGACTCAAGTCAAAGTCACCTAGTAAAATACTAATTGAGTAAAAGTCTAAAAGTATTTGGTTTAAAATATACTTAAGTATCAAAAGTAAATGTAATTGCTCAAATATATTTATGTATCAAAAGTAAAAGTATAAATATTTTCTAATTACTTACACTACCAGTGAAAAGTTTGGACACACCAACTAATTCAAGGGTTTTTCTTTATTTTTACATTGTATAATAATAGTGAAGACATCAAAACTCTGAAATAACACATATGGAATCATGTAGTAACCAGAAAAGTGTAAAAGAAATCAAAATATATTTTATATTTGAGATTCTTCAAATAGCCACCCTTTGCATTGATGACAGCTTTGCACACTCTTGGCATTCTCTCAACCAGCTTCATGAGGTAACCTGGAATGCATTTAAATTAACAGGTGTGCCTTCTTAAAAGTTAATTTGTTGAATTTATATCCTTCTTAATGCATTTGAGCCAATCAGTTGTGTTGGGGGGGTGGTATACAGAAGATAGCCCTATTTGGTAAAATACCATGTCCATATTATGGCAAGAACAGCTCAAATAAGCAAAGAGAAACGACAGTCCATCCATTACTTTAAGACATGAAGGTCAGTCAATACGGAATATTTCAAGAACTTTGAAAGTTTCTTCAAGTGCAGTCGCAAAAACCATCAAGCGCTATGATGAAACTGGCTCTCATGAGGACCGCCACAGGAATAGAAGACCCAGAGTTACCTCTGCTGCAGAGGATAAGTTCATTAGAGCCTCAGAAATTGCAGCCCAAATAAATGCTTCACAGTGTTCAAGTCACAGACACATCTCAACATCAACTGTTCAGAGGGGACTGTGTGAATCAGGCCTTCATGGTCGAATTGCTGCAAAGAAACCACTACTAAAGGACACCAATAATAATAATAAGAGACCTGATTGGGCCAAGAAACACGAGCAATGGACATTAGACCGGTGGAAATTTGTCTAAATTGGAGATTTTTGGTTCCAACTGCCGTGGCTTTGTGAGACGCGGTGTGGGTGAAAAGATGATCTTTGCATGTTTATTTCCCACCGTAAAGCATGGAGGAGGAGGTGTTATGGTGTCGGGGTGATTTGCTGGTGACACTGTGAGATTTATTTAGAATTCAAGGCACACTTAACCAGCATGGCTACCACAGCATTCTGCAGCGATACGCCATCCCATCTGGTTTGGCTTTAGTGGGACTATCATTTGTTTTTCAACAGGACAATGACCCAACACACCTCCAGGCTGTGTAAGGGCTATTTTACCAAGAAGGAGAGTGATGGAGTGCTGCATCAGATGACCTGGCCTCCACATTCCCCCGACCTCAACCCAATTGAGATGGTTTTGGATGAGTCAGACGGCAGAGTGAAATAAAAGCAGCCAACAGGTGCTCAGCATATGTGGGAACTCCTTCAAGACTATTGGAAAAGCATTCCAGGTGAAGCTGGTTGAGAGAATGCCAAGAGTGTGAAAAGCTGTCATCAAGGCAAAGGCTGGCTTTTTGAAGAATCTCAAATTTAAAATATATTTTTATTTGTTTGTTTAACACTTTTTTGGTTACTATCCATATGTGTTATTTCATAGTTTTGATGTCTTCACTATTATTATACAATGTAGAAAATAGTAAAAATAAAGAAAAACCCTTGAATGAGTAGGTGTCTCCAAACTTTTGACTGGTACTGTATATTAAGCAAACCAGGCGGCACAATTTTCCAGGGGGACACTCCAACAATTAACAAATGATGCATTTGTGTTTAGTGAGTCGGCCATATCAGAGGCAGTAGAGAGGACCAGGGTTGTTCTCTTGGTAAGTGTGTGAATTGGACACATTTTCTGTCCTGCTAAGCAGTCAAAATGTAACGAGTAGTTTTGGGTGTCAAGCAATGTTCCCTCTAATATTTTTCAGCCCTGAGCAAATTTCAGGTCTACTGAGCACAAACCTGAACCTTGTGAAATTTCTGTGCAACTTCTGGCGTGTTTACTGTGAACACTGAGGCTGTACCTGCTTTAATTTACTGTTTAACTGTGGCCAAGTAGGCTACTGTGGCTTTTTGATCATAATGTAGGCCTACCAGAGTGGCCTACCATAAAAAACAATGGAGAAAATGTATCACATAACATTTTAACATGGAAATAGTGGTTCTATCATTCAGCCTACAGTAGCAGCCAATGTGTGGTGTTCAATGTAGGCCTATATGAGATTTTTGAAAAAAACATGCAGGGCTTGACATTAACCTGTTTATCCACTTGTCCTTCAGACAAGGAGGTGACTGAACATTTTGTTGTGTTGTTTGATGCAAGAAACCACTTTACAAAATAAAATGCATTATTATTCTCATACCATTATTACAGAGAATCAGACAAGTTATGCTACCGTCTGCCTATTGGCTACTTAAGTTATCCAAGCCGGTCTCAAAATACAACACTGCCCCTTTAAGACATAAAAAAAAGCTCTTTACTTGACTCGCTTTTCAAAGATGGCTAGAAATGTACATGTTTTGTGCTCTTGTAGGAAGCAATCACTCCCACATTGTTGACTACAAATTAGCTATAACTGGGCTAATAACTCACTAACTAGCCAAAAATATAAACAAATGTTAACGTGGCTACATGCAGCTCTGGCTTTGATCTCAAAACAAGCACATACTAATCACAACCTCATGCTGTAAAACAGTCCAGTTCAAAGTGAATGGCACAAATCCATATATGGCAATGGTAATTTGCATATAGGCCTACTGCAGCTCTGATTGGTTATGGCGCACCGGTGTGTAGAATATGGGCATGAGTCGCAATAGAATCCTACTCCGAGGAGTGTTAACTAACAGGGAAAACTCTAGAAAGTTGAGTGAAGTTCAAACTTGTGCAGGCTGATTTTTCTTCAAGCGGCAGTCCATGGGGAGCTGCCCTGGAACATTGGTGTCAAGGGAAATGTATGGAGTAAAAAGTACATTATTTTCTTTAGGAATGTAGTGACGTAAAAGTAAAAGTTGTAAAAAAATATATAAATAGTAAAGTACAAATACCACAAAAAACTATTTAAAAAGTACAATCTTAAATGGTCTACCCACACAGACAGTGTGGTGTTCGACCTCAGGTGGCTGAAGAAATTTGGCTTGGCCCCTAAGACCCTCACAAAATTTTACAGATGCACAATTGAGAGCATACTGTCGGGCTGTATCACCGCCTGGTACGGCAACTGCACCGCCCGCAACCGCAGGGCTCTCCAGAGGGTGGTGCTGTCTGCCCAACGCATCACCGGGGGCACACTGCCCTCCAGGACACCTACAGCACTCAATGTCACAGGAAGGCCAAAAAGATCATCAAGGACACCAACCACCCGAGCCATGGCCTGTTCACCCCAGTATCATCCAGAAGGCGAGGTCAGTACAGGTGCATCAAAGCTGGGACCGAGAGACTGAAAAATATCTTATATCTCAAGGCCATCAGACTGTTAAATAGCCATCACTAGCTGGCTACCACCTGGTTACACAACCCTGCACCTTAGAGGCTGCTGCCCTATATACAGCGAGGGAAAAAAGTATTTGATCCCCTGCTGATTTTGTACGTTTGCCCACTGACAAATAAATGATCAGTATATAATTTTAATGGTAGGTTTATTTGAACAGTGAGAGACAGAATAAAAACAAAAAAATCCAGAGAAACGCATGTCAAAAATGTTATAAATTGATTTGCATTTTAATGAGGGAAATAAGTATTTTACCCCCTCTCAATCAGAAAGATTTCTGGCTCCCTGGTGTCTTTTATACAGGTAACGAGCTGAGATTAGGAGCACACTCTTAAAGGGAGTGCTCCTAATCTCAGTTTGTTACCTGTATAAAAGACACCTGTCCACAGAAGCAATCAATCAATCAGATTCCAAACTCTCCACCATGGCCAAGACCAAAGAGCTCTCCAAGGATGTCAGGGACAAGATTGTAGACCTACACAAGGCTGGAATGGGCTACAAGACCATCGTCAAGCAGCTTGGTGAGAAGGTGACAACAGTTGGTGCGATTATTCGCAAATGGAAGAAACACAAAATAACTGTCAATCTCCCTCGGCCTGGGGCTCCATGCAAGATCTCACCTCGTGGAGTTGCAATGATCATGAGAATGGTGAGGAATCAGCCCAGAACTACACGGGAGGATCTTGTCAATGATCTCAAGGCAGCTGGGAACATAGTCACCAAGAAAACAATTGGTAACACACTACGCCGTGAAACACTGAAATCCTGCAGCGCCCGCAAGGTCCCCCTGCTCAAGAAAGCACATATACATGCCTGTCTGAAGTTTGCCAATGAACATCTGAATGATTCAGAGGAGAACTGGTTGAATGTGTTGTGGTCAGATGAGACCAAAATGGAGCTCTTAGGCATCAACTCAACTCGGCGTGTTTGGAGGAGGAGGAATGCTGCCTATGACCCCAAGAACACCATCCCCACCGTCAAACATGGAGGTGGAAACATTATGCTTTGGGGGTGTTTTTCTGCTAAGGGGACAGGACAACTTCACCTCATCAAAGGGACGATGGACGGGCCATGTACTGTCAAATCTTGGGTGAGAACCTCCTTCCCTCAGCCAGGGCATTGAAAATGGGTCGTGGATGGGTATTCCAGCATGACAATGACCCAAAACACACGGCCAAGGCAACAAAGGAGTGGCTCAAGAAGAAGCACATTAAGGTCCTAGAGTGGCCTAGCCAGTCTCCAGACCTTAATCCCATAGAAAATCTGTGGAGGGAGCTGAAGGTTCGAGTTGCCAAACGTCAGCCTCGAAACCTTAATAACTTGGAGAAGATCTGCAAGAGAAGTGGGACAAAATCCCTCCTGAGATGTGTGCAAACCTGGTGGCCAACTACAAGAAACGCCTGACCTCTGTGATTGCCAACAAGGGTTTTGCCACCAAGTACTAAATCATGTTTTGCAGAGGGGTCAAATACTTATTTCCCTCATTAAAATGCAAATCAATTTATAAAATTTTTGACATGCGTTTTTCTGGATTTTTTTGTTGTTATTCTGTCTCTCACTTTTCAAATAAACCTACCATTAAAATTATAGACTGATCATTTCTTTGTCAGTGGGCAAACGTACAAAATCAGCAGGGGATCAAATACTTTTTTCCCTCACTGTACATAGACATGTAATCACTGGCCACTTTAATAATGGAACACTAGTCACTTTAATAATGTTTACATACTGCTTTAACTCATCTCATATGTATATACTGTATTCTATTCTACTGTATTTTAGTCAATGCCACTCCGACATTGCTTGCCCTAATATTTACAGTTGAAGTCGGAAGTTTACATACACTTAGGTTGGAGTCATTAAAACTTGTTTTTCAACCACTCCACAAATTTCTTGTTAACAAACTTTTCTGAAAATGATGTCATGGCTTTAGAAGCTTCTGATAGGCTAATTGACATAATTTGAGTCAATTGGAGGTGTACCTGTGGATGTATTTGAAGGCCTACCTTCAAACTCAGTGCCTCTTTGCTTGACATCATGGGAAAATCAAAAGAAATCAGCCTAGACCTCAGAAAAAAACTGTAGACCTCCACAACTCTGGTTCATCCTTGGGAGCAATTTCCAAACGCCTGATGGTACCACGTTCATCTGTACAAACAAAAGTACGCAAGTATAAACACCATGGGACCACGCAGCCGTCATCCCGCTCAGGAAGGAGACGCGTTCTGTCTCCTAGAGATGAACGTACTTTGGTGCGAAAAGTGCAAATCAATCCCAGAACAACAGCAAAGGACCTTGTGAAGATGCTGGATGAAACAGTTACAGAAGTATCTATATCCACAGTAAAATTAGTCCTATATCGCCATAACCTGAAAGGCCGCTCAGCAAGGAAGAAGCCACAGCTCCAAAACCGCCATAAAAAAGCCAGACTACGGTTTGCAAGATCATACCTTTTGGAGAAATGTCCTCTAGTCTGATTAAACAAAAAGAGAACTGTTTGACCATAATAACCATCGTTATGTTTGGAGGAAAATGGGGGACCTTGCAAGCCAAAAACACCTTCCCAACCATGAAGCACGGGGGTGGCAGCATCATGCTGTGGGGGTGCTTTGCTGCAGGAGGGACTGGTGCACTTCGCAAAATAGATGGCATCATGAGGAAGGAACATTATGTGGATATATTGAAGCAACGTCTCGAGACATCAGTCAGGAAGTTAAAGCTTGGTCGCAAATGGATCTTTCAAATGGACAATGACCCCAAGCATACTTCCAAAGTTGTGGCAAAATGGCTTAAGGACAACAAAGTCAAGGTATTGGAGTGGCCATCACAAAGCCCTGACCTCAATCCTATAGAAAATGTGTGGGCAGAACTGAAAAAGCGTGTGCGAGCAAGGAGGAATACAAACCTGACTCAGTTACACCAGCTCTGTCAGGAGGAATGGGCCAAAATTCACCCAACTTATTGTGGGAAGCTTCTGGAAGGCTACCCGAAACATTTGACCCAAGTTAAACAATTTAAAGGCAATGCTACCAAATACTAATTGAGTGTATGTAAACTTCTGACCCACTAGGAATGTGATGAAAGAAATAAAAGCTAAAATAAATCAATCATTCTCTCTACTATTATTCTGACATTTCACATTCTTAAAATAAAGTGGTGATCCTAACTGACCTAAGACAGGACATTTCTACTAGGATTAAATATCAGGAATTGTGAAAACTGAGTTCAAATGTATTTGGCTAAGGTGTATGTAAACTTCCGACTTCAACTGTATATATTTCTTAATTCCATTATTTTACTTTTAGAACACAAGCATTTCACTACACCCGAAATAAGATCTGCTAAATATGTGTATGTGACCAATAGAATTTGATTTGAGCGCTCACGCACACACACACACACACACACACACACAGACGAACAGGTATCTATCCTAAATGTAGTGTTCCAGTAAACTCACTTCTTGCTGAGGTGCCTGGCCACGTCAGACTTCCTGAAGCCATCCAGGTTGAAGAGGCGTTTGGCCAGGCGCTTGGCGGCCTGCAGGTCAGCCTTGCTGCCGTTGGCCAGGGCCTCGGTGCTGCCCAGGGCCAAGTGCTCGCCCAAGTCTTGCTGTGGGAACGGGTCTGGAGCCCGGTGGCCTGGCTTCTCCCTGACAGACGACACCAGGAGAGGAGGGATGACTCACATGAGGCTGTTATAGCCCTATTAAAACAGGTAGCTAGGTAACAAATCGATTATACCGGACAGGTTTGGGTCTGTTTAGAATTCAACTGTATTACGTTTTGCCAAACTGTATAATAATAATAAAACTGTCGGTGCCAAACTGTCTTGGCACATAGTAAAGAAGATGATTGGCACTGGCAGGTGCCATATTTAGATCAGATCACTAGCAGGTGCCAAGGTTATTGTCATGGGAAGAGGGCACACAGCCCTTCCATACTTGGCAGAATATAGCCAGTTGTAACAGAACCACTGCTCCAACTGTGCAGCTGTATTATAACCATACAAGCCTTTCAACTTCCATCTATTTTAACATGCAGTACACAGAGATTAACTCTGTTTTAAATCCATTGTCTCCAAGGGAAACAACCGTATATCTTCTCCATTGCTCCACATTTCTTGCACTCATAACACGCAACTGAACTTGTTTATTTACAGCCCCTCCACCTTCAGGCTCTTATTAATAGCAGCAGAGTACGTACATATCCCAACCAGAAGCCATGGATTACAGGCAACATCCGCACCGAGCTAAAAGACTAGAGCTGCCGCTTTCAAGGAGCGGGACACTAATCCAGACGCTTATAAGAAATCCTGCTATGCCATCAGACGAACCATCAAACAGGCAAAGCGTCAATACAGGACTAAGATTGAATCCTACTACACCGGCTCTGACGCTTGTCGGATGTGGCCGGGCTTGAAAACTATTACGGACTACAAAGGGAAACCCAGCCGCGAGCTGCCCAGTGACGCGAGCCTACCAGACGAGCTAAATGCCTTTTATGCTCGCTTCGAGGCAAGCAACACTGAAGCATGCATGAGAGCACCAGCTGTTCTGGACGACTGTGTGATCACGCTCTCCGTAGCCGATGTGAGCAAGCCCTTAAAAAAGGTCAACATTCACAAAGCCGCGGGGCCAGACGGATTACCAGGACGTGTACTCAAAGCATGCGCAGACCAACTGGCAAGTGTCTTCACTGACATTTTCAACCTCTCCCTTACAGAGTCTGTAATACCTACATGTTTCAAACAGACCACCATAGTCCCTGTGCCCAAGAAAGCAAAGGTAACCTGCCCACAAAGCTCATCACCAAGCTACGGACCCTGGGACTAAACACCTCCCTCTGCAACTGGATCCTGGACTTCCTGACGGGCCGCCCCCAGGTGGTAAGGGTAGGCAACAACACATCTGCCACGCTGATCCGCAACACTGGGGCCCCTCAGGGGTGCGTGCTTAGTCCCCTCCTGTACTCCCTGTCCACCCACGACTGCGTGGCCAATTACGACTCCAACACCATCATTAAGTTTGCCGACGACACAACAGTGGTAGGCCTGATCACCAACAACGATGAGACACCCTATAGGGAGGAGGTCAGAGACCTGGCAGTGTGGTGCCAGGACAACAACCTCTCCCTCAATGTGAGCAAGACAAAGGAGCTGATTGTGGACTATAGGAAAAGGAGGGCCGAACTAGCCCCTATTAACATAGATGGGGCTGAACTGCAGCGGGTCGAGAGTTTCAAGTTCCTTGGTGTCCACATCACCAACAAACTATCATGGTCCAAACACACCAAGACAGTTGTGAAGAGGGCACAACACCTTTTCCTCCTCAGGAGACTGAAAAGATTTGGCATGGGTCCCCAGATCCTCAAAAAGTTATACAGCTGCACCATCAAGAGCATCATGACTGGTTGCATCACCGCCTGGTATGGCAACTGCTCGGCCTCCGACCGCAAGGCACTACAGAGGGTAGTGCGTACGGCCCAGTACATCACTGGGGCCAAACTTCCTGACATCCAGGACCTATATACTAAGCGGTGTCAGAGGAAGGCCCACAAAATTGTCAAAGACTCCAGCACCCAAATCATAGACTGTTCTCTCTGCTACCACACGGCAAGCGGTAACGCAGCACCAAGTCAAGGACATGTAAATGTGCTGGAGAATTTCTAGAAAAAAGTCCATGCACAGTGCTTTAGTAATAAGCTATTTCCTAGTGGAAAATATGTATGCAATGATATGAGTCATGTATGGAAAGGATAAATCACCATAATGTCAATTAATTATCTATAAAAAAGAGAGTTGTTTCAAAGGATAAACATTTCCATTCACATCTACAAACTATACCCACAATAGTCACAAAGCAAATTGACTAAAGTTAGACTTATGTCTCTGCAGACATTTGAGAAAATAATCGGAGAGCCCCTTTAAGAGCGTGGATGGAACTGTCAGCAAATCCTTCCTACAACAACATGGTAGAGAGTCCATTCATCGCAGAAATGCCCATGCATTTACAGTGGGTGAATCCCCATCGAGATAAGATGAAGTAATCTGCCCTACCAAATGAACAGCGTGGTCCTTTGGTTAGTGGTCCACCTTGCTTTTCGCCAAGAGAGTTCCTCCTCAAACGCATGACTCCTTTCAAACCTCCACAGCAAGGTAGCAACCCATCTCAGGATAAAGAACACCCCTATTTATTGGTTGTGTTTGGTTTATTCCACCGGCCCTTTGGGTCACCCCCTCTGACAGAATGGTCCACCACAAAGGAGGCGGGTGGGGAGATAAGTAGCAGGGGGCTGAGTTTGTTTATTCTTAAAACAATGTGTTTATGATCCACTCCTCCACAGAAAGGGAGAGAGAGAGAAAGACTCCCAGACTTATTTTCCAGGGTGTGGCGAGGAAGCCAGTGTTCTTTTCAGGGACGATAGCAGGAGTGGCCGGCGGACATTTCATTCAACAGCGTCCATGGAGAGACAGAGCTCTATAGAAAAGTCTCAACATTTAAACCAGACCACAGCCTTGAGCCTTTATATTAACACCAGGTTATGTCCTTAACTTTACAGTTGATTGTAAAGTTGGTTGTAAAGTTATACAAATTGGCTCTATCGCAAGCCAACATCTTATGTCCCCAAAACAGCAGTTTCATAAACTGGTTGTGCTGCATCATGAGAACAGTCAACCTTCTTTGGTTGTAGGTTATTATAGTAACTGAATAACTCCCCCCTCCTAGGTGAAGCCAAGGCTGCTGATCTGAGAACACTGTAGGTGAGCCTCTGTCGTAAGGACTAGAGCCAACAGGTATTAATCACTCTATTAATAACACCATGAGGTGCCACATAGTTTCTCTGAACACACACTGTCACGCTCACCCTGTACATCAATGTAATGTACAGCACCCATTTCTTACCAGACACTGTATAACACTGTCCAGCCAGCTAAGAGTCACAGCAACACAGATAATCAGCTCACACTTAAACATTTCATAACATTAGACCATTCATAACAATGTAAAAAGCACATGATAAAGTCAACCTCTGCTGTCCATAACACTGTTAAGATCCACACACCTCTGACAAACAGACAGAAAGCAGGACAGGCAGATGGAGGTAGGTATAGTACAGTGGGGAACTCACCGGTAAATGGCTGGGTAGGGGGCATACAGGTACCCGTCTTCCAAAGCCCCGCCCCCCCAGCAGAGCAAATAGCGTGCCATGTTGTCCCCAGAGCCCTGCCCCTTTCACACCCAACCACGGCACTCCGCGGTGAGGTAACCCTGCCAGTCAACAGTCTGTCCCACTGACCACATCGATCCTCCAGCCACACACCCGACACTGCACTGCTCTCAGCCTGAGCCTAGCAGAGCCTCATGGTGCATTTCACAACATGTTCTCTTCCATTTCCCCTCCTTTGTGTCTGGATACTCTCTTTGCCTTATTTGGCGCCCTAATCTGTTGCTGTCCTCCCCTGCTGTCCCGTCTGCCACTCTCTCTTTAACTCTCTCGCTCGCTTTGTCAGTTCCTCCCTCTCCGGCTCCCTGTAGCAAAGATGGTGGATAAATTAAGATAGTTCACACAGGCCACAGAGTTTCTAAACCACCACAGAGTTTCAAACTGTAGTGTCTTTGCTTAGGCCGTTTACTAAATAAAATAAAACAATTAGTTCCGGTCTACTTAACTGGGTGTGAATGAAATAGCAGCTGGGTCTGGTCTACTTAGTTCATTGAACCAGAAAAAAACAGAGTGGGGTGTCTCGCTTCCTCTTCCGTCTCTGCCTGTAGCTCTTGTTTTGAACTCTGAAGTATCCAAGCCAGTGTGGACACAGTATGTGGTAATAATTTGGCAGGATCTTTGTTGAACTCAAAGTTACACTCGGCCAGTCTCAGCCTTTCACTGCCCTCTCGCTCTGTCTTTATCCGTCGTGTGCCTCTCTCTGTGGATGGCTCATCAGCTGGGCTATTTTTTATTGCTGGAGAAAGCATGCATTTCCTCTCTCCATGGCTGCAATCCCACCTCCCTTCCCCTCTCTCTTCTCTTCCTCTCCCCTTCCCTCTCTCCCACTGATCCCACTTTCTATGTTTCTAACCTACTTACTGTTTAGAGAGAGCTCCTCTCTCTCTAAACAAATACACATGTAGCCTATCAGATTTAAAATCACAGAACAGTTTCAGTAAAACTCCAGTGTGTCAGTGTTGCAGGAAAGCCAAACAAACAAACGGAAATGAAAGATAATCAAAGTAGCATACAACAATGACATCACACAGACTGATGATACCAGATCTATTCCTTTACTAATAATATATATTTCATATTTACCATAGAACAGACCTTATGGTTTTACTAATTCATATTTTAAAATCATTGTTGACATGGCTTCTGGCACAAAAGGTAAAGAGTCTAGCCAAAGATAAGACTCCTTCCAGACCACTCAGTCCAACAAATCTGGCCGTAGAACAATGGGTCTCTTGTTGTCTTGTGGATCAAAAGCCAACTGAAGTGAACTTGATATCCTCAAAGTCAATTTGTAACACATCTTTAAATTAGCTTTTGATTCAATCAAACTGCCTTTTGGAGTTTGATCAAAATACTTTGGAAATCGTGAGAGTTCATGGTGTGACTTAAAAAGGAGCCGTGTCAGTGGCCCCGCTGCTGTTGATACTGTATCCTCCTGTGACTTAATAGTCCAAAAGAGTGGTCGACCTCACACCCAACGGTCTCTTTTCTATTTTAAAACCCTGAAATCACATGGTCCAGGAAGTTAATACACAGTTGCCATGGTTACCAAGTATGGCTGGCTGAGCTACAGATCTGATTGGCTGCCTGACAGGAAAGGCGGTGCAACCAAGGAGCCAGGTGGCATGGCAGAACGGGTTTGACTGACTGTAAGTGAAACCAGTGACACTAAACACAACACACACATGGACACGCTCACTCACTGAATAGCTGGCAAGATACACTGGATATGAGTAAGCCTACACATATGGGAACATATGTTTTATATAATATACACTTATGCGTAAATGAACATTCACTAATAGGACCCGGGTACCCAGATGTTCCTCAGGCCTCTATTAATAGAATTTGTCCCATAAACTAAGTTATAATAACTTCATTCTTGGCAGGGTTGGTGGGACTGAGATACTACATCTTGGAATGAAAATAACACCAACTTATTAGCCACTCTGCGTTACACATGTCCACTTAAGAAGTAAAACATCATGCACACAAATACAATCAGACCATGACTCATTTCCAACCACGGAGGAATGATTTTCCGCATCCAATCAAAAGTTCCTCTCATGGTCCACTCTGCAAGTCCACATCCATACCTTAACCAGAGAGGTATCATACCGCTGAGCCCAAATCATAGGACATCAAACCACAACACAGTCAACCCTATACCATGTAACAGACAGTACTGTACTAGTATTAACTACTTTCTGGATAAACGTTCCAAAAGAAATACAATGGCTCTCTGGCCTCATCTAGTGGTACAACTACATTTCTGCGGTTGAGTTCAACAGGCATATAACGTTTTACATTTTCATCATTTAGCACTCTTATCTAGAGCGATTTACAGGAGCAATTAGGATTAAGTGCCTTGCTCAAGGGCACAGACAGATTGTTCACCTAGTCGACTCGGGGATTCGAACCAGCGACCGTTCGGTTACTGGCCCAATGCTTTTAACCGCTAGGCTCCCTGCCGCCCTCTAGGTTAGAATTAGTGATACCCAGAAGCTCCTTTCAAACACAAATATTTAGGAGAGATATCCTAATCTAATAGGAATTGGACATAGAGGGGTTTTCACCATTTCTCTAATCTCTTGAGAATTGAGACACCTAGGACTCATGACCCGCTCAGAGGAGCTCAGCTCCGACTCCCCTGGGGTAAGTGTGATGGTGAAATGCAGGGCACAGTTAAAGAGACTGTGGGAAGAAGGCAATTCAGTCTTATTTGCACTCCAGCATTAGGCCTTCTGAGCTTTGGCGAGTCTGGAGCATCTCTACATGCTTAATATGTTAATTTGATCAGGTCAGACAGATGCTGATCAAAACAGCTGTATGCAAAACAGACACTATCTGTCATTATTGGAAATACCAGACCAAACATATGTCATACATGCTTAGATTATAGGCTCTAAACTCCAAATGCAATCGAAGTAATTAGGAACAACCATTCAAGGGACAACACATGAGATTTTAGTGACAGTGCTTTTGTAGGTCGTCTAGGAGCAGTAAAGAGCTGTATTACCAAAGCAGCATTAAGCGGTTTACCATTATGAAACAGCATAATAGGATACTATATCTTATAATAGGATCTTCATATAGCAAAATACAGTGAGCTCCAAAAGTATTGAGACAGTAACAATTGTGTTGTTGTTTTGGCTCTGTACTCCAGCTCTTTGGATTTGAATTGATACAATGACTATGAGGTTGAAGTGCAGACTGTCAGCTTTCATTTGAGGGTATTTTAATCCATATTGGGTGAACCATTTAGAATTTACAGCACGTTTCGTACATTGTTCCCCCATTTTAGGGGACTAAAAGTATTGGGGAAAATTGTTAAAGTAGTCAAAAGTTTAGTATTTGGTCACATATTCATAGCACGCAATGACTACATCAAGCTTTTGACTCTACAAATTTGCTGGATGCATTTGCTGTTTGTTTTGGTTATGTTTCAGATTATTTTGTACCCAATAGAAATGAATGATAAATATCCTACTCCCAAGACAAGCTATACTCTCACCATTACAATAACAGGGAAAGGTTAGCATGTCTTGTCCTGAGTTAGCATGTCAACTCCTGAGTGGCGCAGTGGTCTAAGGCACTGCATCGCAGTGCTAACTGTGTCACTAGAGATCCTGGTTCGAATCCAGGCTCTGTCGCAGCCGGCCGCGACCAGGAGACTCATGGGCGGCGCACAATTGGCCCAGCGTCGTCCAGGGTAGGGGAGGGAATGGCCGGCAGGGATGTAGCTCAGTTGATAGAGCATGGCGTTTGCAACGCCAGGGTTGCGGGTTCGATTCCCACGGGGGGCCAGTATAAAAAAATATATATATATATTCACTAACTGTAAGTCGCTCTGGATAAGAGCGTCTGCTAAATGACTAAAATGTAAATGTAATGTAAATGTCTTGGGGGTATGATATTTGTGTGTCTGTAACTCTCTCCCTCATCATTATTCACGATTCATCCAGGATTACCCGTAATTATGGTAGCATCCACATTAATGTAGAAGTGTTTAGAAACATATTCTATTCTTATTTACAATAAAAGTGACTCCTAAATGACAGAATACATTACTTACCATTCATTTATATTGGGCACAAAACAATCTGAAACACAACCAAAACAAACAGCAAATGCATCCAACAAATTTGTAGAGTCAAAAGCTTGATGTAGTCATTGCGTGTTATGAATATGGAACCAAATACTAAACTTTTTACTACACATATAAGTGAATTTGTCCCATATACTTTTGGTCCCCTAAAATGGGGGGACTATGTACAAAAAGTGCTGTAATTTATAAACGGTTCACCCGATATGGATGAAAATACCCTCAAATTAAAGCTGACAGTAATAGTCATTGTATCATTTCAAATCCAAAGGGCTGGAGTACAGAGCCAAAAAATATATAATAATATGGAGCTCACTGTACGTGTTGACACCACCATCTCCAGCACACATCTTTCTAACAATGGTAAACAAACACAAAAATGCATTCAAGAGATATCACAGCTAAATGATCCTGTAGAGGTTGGTGAAGGGATTGTGATTTTGTGCGTGCGTGTGACCACTTTCTCCTGCACGGACACAGCAAAGTTGCTGATACAAAACAGTCTAAATTAAGTACACCTTAGATGTCCATGCTTTCAGTTGGACTGTTTGTCACTCACCTAATGAGAGGCAAGTCTAAGTTAGACTTAGTTTGCAATGAGTCTTTCTCCAACCGGGACTTCCCTCCTGAAGTAGAATCCTTCTCAGATGAGCTGCTGAGCCCGTCTCCTGTGGGGGCCAGGGTGTTCTCAGAGTGGACGGCGACAGACACACTGGGAGGCTCTGGATGGGCCAGGGGGGCAAAACTCAGCTCGATGATGTGACGCGCACTCTCACAAATCCGGCTCTGGATCTCAGGGGTGAGGGTGGGAAGGTCAAAGGTGAAAACGGGCGGGCCGCTGGAGGTCAAGAGGTCAACGCTGTCCAGGCTGCTGTAGGAGGTGCCCTTGGCCCGGTGAGACTCCACGATGCTCTCAAAGTGGCGGCTGAAGGAGTCCAGGCCATCCGCAGAGGTCCTGCGAGGGCTGTTCACTGAGATGGGGGACTTGAGGGCTGACTGAGAATCCGATATGTTGTCCAGGGGACGACTACAGGAAAAAAGGATGTAAAGGTTTTTCTACAAGTGCAACAGATCTGTACATTTTTTCAATGAAGACACAATTTAAGACATTTGTAACAAGTATTTTAGATATGAGGTAGGTACAGGTACTGTAGGTATGAGGTGTTAAACTCATCTCTCTATAATTGCCTTCAAGGTATGGTGTGTTTGAACTTCAGTGAATGTCTCACCCCTTCAGCAGCAGACTGTGTATCTGATTATCCTCCTGGGTGGCATGCTGTCTCTTCTTATCCCCCTGCATCCTCACACTGGCCCAGCTCACCACCTCCTCCTCCAGCTCCTCCACCTCTCCGTCAGTGCGGACTATGGTACTGGCGCTGGAGGACAAGGTGCCCAGCACACTGCGGTTACTCCCAAAGGCAGAGTCCACTTCCACCTCCTCCTGTTCTCGCTCTCTCTCTGCCTGGGCCTCAGCTAACATTACCTCATCCAGGTCTGTTTCCCTATAGCATTTCAGGGGCACCGCATCTAAGTCCGTCTCAGAGTACTTGATGGTTTTCCGGATGATGCCCGTCTTGGGTGAGATGCCAACCACAGTGACTGGGGGCGGAGTCACCAGCTCCACCTCCACCTGTTGGACGTTGTGATAGGATAAACTCTGGCCCTCATCGTCCAGCCCCCTCCAGTGACTTGTGGGCTTCAGGGGCAGGGAGGAGGGAGGGGTGGGCTTGGGAGACCCACTGGAGGTGCCCCTAGGGGGGGCTGTAGAGGAGTCTGGGATATCGAAAAAGACAGAGGATGTAAAAGTGTTTTAGTCAAATGCCATGTTCTAAAAACCATGCACAAATAGTCAAACATTTCTTGTTCTAAAGACCAGAAGTCAATTTATAGATTGTATTCCATTATGATGGTACTGTGTATTGAGAGGACTGACTATGGTAATAACATTCAGGGCTCTATTTTCAGCTGGTGCCAAGGAGGCACAAGTGTCAAATGCATGTTAATTTGCAATTTTGTCATGTAAAAACTGGCGCAATGACCTTTTCTAGCACTAAAGCCAGGTTCGGCAATTTACCTGTTTAACATCAGCTCGCTTGCGCTGAAGTGGGAGGGGTGGCAATATTTAAGGTGTGTCCTTAAAAACCAGCCATGACGCACAGTGCCCATGGAAGGAGAGAAATGTGTTTTGTGCCAGTGAATCTTGTATTTCGAAACCGATTGGTTTCCCCCCCATTTCGATTAAAAACCAAGCATAGCCTACCCTCCCCTTAATAAAGGCTGATTTAGCAGTATTGCATAGGTGCATCTTTTTCTCCTGGCCATTAGCCAAACGTAGCATATGAATAAAGAGATTTTAAATGGTCTTTAACTTTTTCAAGTAAGCTATCCATCCCCATTTTCAAAGGGCTCACCTCGTCCGATTACCAAATACATGCTCCTCCAAATTATTAAGTCCTCCTATAATGCCATATCAACAGTGGATAAAAAAAAAAAATCAAAAGTGCCTCGCACATAGGCAATGATACAAAATACTAGGCTCCTGTCAATTGTATAGACGTGCGAATGTTATGTGTAAAGACATTTAGACCTACGTGTGCACACAGTGACATGTATTGAGAAGAAGTGATTTATGATATCATGCTTCTGACCCAATCCTATTTAGAAATATTGTTGTTGGGTTTCAAATTAAAAGAAAAACTAACTTACTAGAAAGGTTCACCGTCCACGGGTTTATGGTGAGAACGTACATGGCTCGAATGTAATGAGATTTCGTCTGCAAATATGATCTATAAGATGGTTCCATTATGTTTATAAAACATTACATTTTTGATCAGTATAACAGTGAATGGACATTGCCCCTTTCTCTTTATATTGGATCTTTATCCAGCTCCTGTGAAAAGTTTGGATGTGCGTAAAACTCTCCATAGTCTAAGTTGCCTTGTCTGTATTATACACCCATGGGGAGCAATTATGGTGCCTGTAACTGTATATAGACATAGCCTATTTAAAACAAGTTGTTGATTTGTTTTTATTAGAATTTGATTATAATTATACACTGTCTTTTTAGGCCTTATAAATAGCCTAGTGAATTCAATCTTACTTATCGACACCGCTTGGCATGTCCATGTACAAATTGCAATTTACAGTAGGCCTAGCCCCTATATCAGTGTTAATGCTATAGCCTATGTTTAGCAATGTATTTCCATATTGAAGCAACGCAATTAGAACAATGTGTACTGCCAACATGTTCAACATATTTAGCAAATATGGGGCACGCTATTTAACGAACTAGGCTATAATGGAGTAACATTTGAATTGGAGTTATACACAGTCTCCCACTGGCTATAAGGTGAATGCACCAATTTGTAAGTCGCTCTGGATAAGAGCGTCTGCTAAATTACGTAAATGTAAATGAGTTGATGACAAGGCAATACATAAGAGACCATAAATATACAACTTGAAGCAACCACATATTTAGCCATGGAGCACATTCTGATTGGCCAGTGAGACACCAAGCCTCGACACACCCAGAACTTGTTTATTCATCAAAACCCAGCCCTTTCGCGCCACCGCCAGCTACTGTGCCCATAACTCCAGTTGTGAAAATAGCAAAAATATTTATGACACCCCCAAACCTATAATACTACCGCCAGCGCTAAGATTTACCATTGCGTTAGGTTTGTTCAAATAGAGCCCTGAATGTTTTTGTAGCACTAAGTAAAATGACCTGTTCTAAAGACCATGAAAATGTAATAAAATGACCTCTTCTAAATGTATAGATTGTTATTATGACGGTACAGTTTATTGTGAAGACATTCACGGTTTTGGGGCCTATAACACACTGTCTGTAATGAATACTGTAATACAATAGTGACTGATGGAAAATGAGTGTGAGATGCAGAGAAGGGATAAGGAAAATGTAGTCAAACACAAGGGGACAGATTCTCTAAGGTCTACATTTCGTTAACAGGAAAGTACACATTAAATGAAAGACATTAGCCATGTGTGATGCTGAGATGTCTAGACTCTGAACCAGGGGTCGGCGACAGGCAGCCTGAGGGGCTAAAACTGACCAGTGAGTGATCATTTGTGCCCCCCCCCCCCCCGTTTTTGGTCAAGTTTAATTTAAGAAATCGGTTCCCAAGTATTCCCACAAATAAAAAAAGAGATATGTGATCGTGTCTCAATGTAATCAAGGTATGAAATGATTGTATTTGAAAATACAATCTCTTTTTGGTCTTAGTTGTGGTCAATTTGCAGAGTACAAATTATTATAAAGATGTTCCCACCCCCCGACCAAAACGTCCCCCGGCTAAATCTAGTTACCTACCCCTGCTCTAAACTATCAATAAAGTGCTGTAACCTTTTGGGTGAACAAAGAAAGTGTTTGTGTTGCAAGAGAAGGATGCGAGTCAGTCAGAGTTAAAAAAGGACAGAGCTAATGCCAGGCCATGATGGCTCTAAAGCCAAATCTAGCCAAAGCTAATTGGATTACAGGAGTATTGTGTAGCTAGCTGCTTGCTCATGAGAAGGGGCTGACGAACTAGGAAGTCTGAACTAGAGGAGGAGGAGGAGTAAGACAGTGATTAGAGCTCTTTCAGGACAGGACCGCCCACCTTTAGAATCATGGCAGTCCTCTGTGGGCTGTCCGAACAGGAACTCCCATTTGGCATGGGCAATCCTCTGAGAGTGCAAGGACGGGCCCAGCACAGAGGAACGGCTGTCCGACTGATGAAAGACAGTGAGAATGATTGAGTATATGATAAGGGATAATGCACACTTCTCTCTTACACAGTCTCTCTTACACACACACACTCTCGCTCACCCACCTGCATCCCAGAAGCAGTGTCTTCAGTGTCATTGCTCTTCTGGCTGGACTGGCTGGATGTCTCTGGAGACAGACAGTACCTCTCTGGCTGACTGCTTTCCCCCAGACTGCCTGTCACTCCACTGGAGCTTTGGGAAGACCCCAGCAGTTCGCTATGGTCCTGGGTCTCCCCCCTGTTTACCCCATGTTTATCCCTCTGATACCCCAACACAGCTGCATCATCCCTCCTCTGTTGCAGCTCTTCCTTGGTCACCACACACACTCCATCACCATCAGCAGTCTGATCCTCCCTATTGGACTCCTCTTTGTCCGCAACGGACACATTCTCCCTCCACTGCTGCATCCTGGAGGTCCAGCTGTCTGGTGGCTCCACGTCAAGGCCTATAACCAGGCGCCTGCTGCTCTCCGGGCTGTCCCTCGGACCCCCTCTGTCAAAGAGGGTGTCGTACTGTCTCCTATACAGGCCGGGGGAGCCCCGGTCTCCCATGTACTGTGGGGGCTGGTGGCGGTGCAGGGTGGGGCCGTCTTTCGCCAGCAGCTCAGCTCTCTGCAGCCGAGGGTCTACAATAGGGGTGTGGGAATCCACCACTAGGTGCAGCTTAACTGGCATGGCTGGGGAGGAGATGCCCTTCTGCTGTAGGAGTGGAGAGGCTTGCCCCAAGCCTTGGCCTGGTCTGGACTCTCTGGAGTGGCGTCCAGCACTAGGAGACTCCTTGTCTGTCCACCTGTGGTCCTGGAGGTGGGTGTTACTGTTAGCTTCAGGGTGGTGCTGCGCTGGAGAACCCGTGCCCTGGAGGGTGGCATAGGGTTGAGACTCCCTAGAGAGGTAGCCAGGCCTGGGGCTCTCTGACCTGGCCGAGTCAGCCTGGAACGGGGTGGGGGAGGGAGTCCTCCTGTCCATGAGGATGGTGGGAAGCTTGGTAGCCTCCTCTGCCAGCTTACAGGCCATGTCAGGGCTAGTGGCCTGGGAGATACTTCTCCTGCCACTGGTCTGGTTCAATCCCTCTCCCAGCTTGCTACCATTTGACTGACCTGTCTGTTTGGAGTTGACCTTGTTGGGTAAGCAGGGGCTATCGCTAGGAGTGTGGCTGCTGGTGTGACTGCTAGTCCTCTGATTGCAAGAGGCTGAGGTGCTGGTAATCATGCTTGATGGTATGTCATGCTGGATTGCAGTGGGCCTCCCTGTAGGTAAAGGCAGGTGGAACTTGGAGGACAATCTGGGGCTCTCATCCCCAAACTTGGAGGACAACCTGGGGCTCTCATCCCCAAACTTGGAGGACAACCTGGGGCTCTCATCCCCCAGGTCCAGCCTGTTGTTATGGACACCATGGTGGTGGCGAACACTCGAGGGGGACATGGTGTATTTGTAGTAAGACTGCCTGGCTTGAACGAAGAGCTGGTCAGAAGCTGGGCTTCTGGGGAGGCCATTTAAACCAGGGTTCCTGTCTGGGTCTATGAGGTGTGCATTGACGGGCAGCGTTTTGGCACCCTGAGGCAGGACCGGGGACCCACCCCAGGACTTGCAGCGGGGCTGCTGCTGGTAGTGCCGGGGCAAGCTGGGGCTCTGGTCTGGCCTGTAGGCTGCCAGTCTGCGCCTCAGTTCTGGGGTGCCAAATTCCTCCATGGCCCTGTAGGTGGCTTCTCTGGCTACAGTGTCCAGAGTGGCCCTGCGGAGACAGGGGGAGCCCCTGGGGGACAGTTTGGGGCTGGAGCTACCGGAGGGCTGCCAGCTGTCCGACCACACAGGGTCACTAAGCCTCTTCCTGAGGTGGGCAGGCAGATACCTCTCCTCCATGCCTATACTGAAGGGGTTCTCAGGTATACTTTGGCACAAAGCACTGCGGGGGCTGTCCACAGACTTAATGCTGGCTTTCTCTACGTAGCTAAAGCTGACCACAGAGCGCTTGCCCCCATCCCCCACACCAGAGCCATCGTAGGACCTGCACCCACTGGTTGGAGTGGAGGGGGCAGTTAATCTCCCAGAGGAGGCAGGGGATAGGGGCACCCTCCCGTGGTAGTGCTCAATGTCTGAGGAGCGGGCACGCACCAGAGTTCCATACTGTGGCCCATTGGGTGCAGGCTGGAGAGTGGAGAGCAGTTGACCAATCCCCAGACTTTGCCTGTGGTGGATGGGTGGCCCTGAGTTGTCCGGTAGGTCCAGCTGGAAATTGACAGAGTGTCTGGAGGAGGACTTGGAGGGGGTGAGGCTGGGACTGCTGCCCCCAATTTTATGCACCCCCCCTGGGGACATGGAGGCTGGGCTGGGGGTGGAGGTGCAGGTACAGGTGGAGTGGCTGGGCGTGTGCTGGGACTGAGGTAGGATGTCAGGCCCTTGGAGCACTAGTGGGTGAATACCCTCCACACCACCCCCAAACTCCTTCTCTTCCTCCGGGACAGACCTCACCTCCACATACAGGTGCAGGATATTGCCTGACTGAGACATGGTCTCCACACTGGCCTCAGTGCAGGCCTCTGTCTCTTTCTTGTTGTTTGTCTCCTAAACTTCCTTTCTAACCCGAAATGAAACAAAATGGGTCCATTTGGTGAGGGTCAGTAAGCTGGAGGATGATTGGCAGGTCTCTTCGCAATGCTCAGCTTAGTTTTAGTCTGTCAAAGAGAAAGAAAAAGAGAGAAGAACATATTAGGAACATGTTATTTTAAAAAGACAATAAAACAAACAAACTGACATCAAAGACTGTTACTGTATTCAGAATCCATGGCTGAATGTGTGTGTAAGTTTGTCTTGGAGGAGCCGAATGTGTGTTATGCTATATAAAGACCTCTGATCTACTTTCATCTTCGTAACCTGAGGTGATGCTGTCATGCCATTGTCTACCAGTCACACCATGACACCATAGTCTAGGGGTGCCTTCCCCTGACCCCCTGGGCGGGTGACTGTATGCGACACAGATCTCGATAACAGCTTTACTCCCAGTCATTCTGACTGAGATTCAAGGTTGTGAACTATAAATGAAGGCCTACCCACATGACAAAAGTATATACTGTAGTATACTATGGGACTTTACAGTAGTATTGAAGAAATCTACTGGACAAAATACTCAAAGAGCACATTTTCCATAATCTGTAGGTAGGTATGACTGAAGTCTGAACCAACAGTTCAGAGCTTCCGCTCTTTTTTTATAACTTGTAGGGAACACAATATACAGGCCACACTCCAAAAAGCAAGTCCTACAGGCTCTAGTTTTGTCTTATCTTGATTATTGTCCAGTTGTGTGGTCGAGTGCTGCAAGGATAGACCTAGTTAAGCTGCAGCTGGCCCAGAACAGAGCGGCATTTCTTGCTCTTCATTGTAATCAGAGGGCTAATATAAATACTATGCATGCCAGTCTCTCTTGGCTAAGAGTTGAGCGGAGACTGACTGCATCACTTCTTATTATAAGAAACAATGTGTTGAAAATCCCAAATTGTTTACATAGTCAACTTACACACAGCTCTGACACACACCAGGGGTCTTTTCACAGTCCCCAAATCCAGAACAAATTAAAGAAAGTGTCCAGTATTATATAGAGCCATTATTGCATGGAACTCCCATCTAATATTGCTCAAATGAACAGCAAACCTGGTTTTTAAAAAAATAAACACCTCACGGCAACACCTCACGGCAACACCTCACGGCACAACACCTCTCCCCTATTTGACCTAGATAGTTTGTGTGTATGTATTGATATCTAGGCTACGTGTGCCTTTCTTAAATTGATGTAGTTCTGTCCTTGTCTATTAATGTTCTGTATTATGTCATGTTTCATGTGGACCCAAGGAAGAGTAGCTGCTGCTTTTGCAACAGCTAATGGGGATCCTAATAAAATACTATACTTGGCATGTAGGTTTCTGACTTATGGGTGGCACAAATTGGGATTTTGGGACGGGAAATGGCAGAGTATATGCTAATTAAATACTATAGTAATTACTGTAGTGTTTTTGCACATTGTAGTGTTTTTGTGGACATTACTGTTGAATTCACTGTAGTGTTTTTGCAGATTGTAGTGTTTTGCCTAACATTACTGTAGTATTTATTTGCGTGTTTTTGTGGTCTGTAGTATACTGTAGTATTTACTATAGTATTTTACAGAATACTATAACATTCTATAGTAAGTCCTACACATGATTGAGCTATACTACAGTGTGTAGTTTAGTATTCTACAGTATACTACAGTTTTCTACAAAATTCTATAGTAAGTACTGTAGTATTCTATTGTAAACTGTAGTATTTTTTTATGTGGGTATAGGTATTAGTCAGAAATAGTAATATAGTATCATAAGTGATGACGGTAAACAGTTGGTTATGATACAGTACAGGTCTTGCTTGGATGCATCTGTGATAGACTCCACAAATGTGTCTGATTGCTTTTTGGCCACAGACCTGTTAGAGCTCTATTGGATTAATCAAAGCTATTTTCACAGGTCAAGGATCCTTGAACTTGAAGGCTCAGAATTAACCAAAACAAGAGAGACTCACAATAGCAGGCAGACAAGTTACTGTTTTTACCCAAAACATTCCACATTCCAAGTGTTATATTATTCATCCAAATCTGTAGTCTGTCAAGTTCACACTCACACCATGTCCTCAATCTAGAATAACAAGTGTGATATTCCCTCAGTTTGTGTACACAGATATCAGAGAGAGGCAAAAAATATAGATGTGAAATGGACACCTACTTGTTTAATAGAACCACTGGGTGACTGGGTCAGATTCCCACCAACCTGAAAAAGTTAAGTCCAAATAACCTCTGTCTGGCTGGCCCCAATACGTTTTGTTGTCCTTACAGTATGCATGTAAAATTGAATACTACTTCTACCACTAAATCTGTAGTGTGGTTATTTCTTTATCGAATTCCACAACAAGGTTAACTCACTGTTCTTGAGACAGAGGCCAGGGCCCGTGCTTACGTTATCGGATACATCTGGCAGGAGTGAGACATAGTTAGATTAGTTGGGCCCGTATGAATTGGAATAAATCCAGAGGACAACAACCAGACTGCTGGACATTATTACAAGCCAGGAGACGGTCCTAACGTTTTCATTTAATCGCTTTTTAAAATGTCAGATCCATTTCCTTTCATCCAATTCAAACCCCAATTATCACACATATCAATCTCCCCTGATGACCAGAAAGAAGAACATAAAAATCACTCGCTCCTAAAAAGGAACGCCTAAAACATCATGTCAGTGTTTTTCACAGACTAGAAACCAAGTATACAATTTAAAAACATCTGTCAATTCTAGTCAATTAGAAAACTGTAACATATCAAAGTATTTCTAAAACCAGGAAACCAATAGACATTCATATTAATAACATCACAAGGCCACATGTTGAACAAGGCACACAGAGTAGAGTACAACCTCATAACACTTGAGGATCAACATATGCCCCCCGCCCCTCCCTTCCGTCTTTCTCTCTCACACACCTGCTCATATTAAAAACACACTCACACCCTGATGAGCAGGGTAGTTCGGCCTACTTTTTCTGTACTCTGACTTAATAGGATTCCCCACCCCCCCCACTCTCTCTCCTCCATTACTGTTCAACCTACAGACACATACTCTGACACCATTTCTCCCTTACCTCATAGTCCTCTTCATCTTGCTAACAGCATCCACCATTCCCTGAGTGGCGGCAGCACAGTCTGGGGCTGCCTCCTTCCGAACTCTTTCTCTCGTCTCCCTTTCTCCTCTTTACCACCTCTAGACTCACAGTGGCTGTCCGCTTTGCCAGCTCATCCATACTGGATTTACGCCTCACTGTTCTCCTCCAGACCTGCCTAAGTCCAATAGAGCTCAGTCTTCCACCTTCTGCCACTCATGGTGCTTTGTCCCTCCCTCCAGGAAGAGTGCTCGACCAATCAGATCCCTTGATCCAGTGCTGTCTTACCGGCCCAATGGCTAGTGGTGTAAAGTAGTCTGTTTAGCACTAACAGATGGTGAAGGAACATGCAGCTTATAGTTCCTGGGACGGTAACAAGGTCAGAGGGGACTGGGGCCCTCCTTTTATTCAGAGGATAGAGACTCATTTGGCTAACTTGAGTCGTAGGGGGTAACAGATGTGAACCTCGGAGGAAAATCAAGGATAAACAAATCCGAGGCATCACCTTCACACCCTCACGCTTAGACAGACAGTCATTTTCTCTATCCCTCTGATAACCCTACTAGCACTCTCTCTAGGTATCAACACTTACTGTCTGGCTGTAGCATGTCTACTGTACCTCACTAGGAGGTTCTGGACTTGGAAATTGTATGTAATAAATTCTGTCAATCAAGTTTGATGACAGATAAATAGTAGAGCAGAGACCATGTAAGTTATTTTCTCACTGCCTCATGGAAGTGACAGCTTAACAAATGGCACCCCACTGTATTGTGCCACCCCACCTCACTCTCTATTTTCTGTGGTTTGGCTGCAATGAGAAGTGAATTTCCACAGCTTCCCCAGTCAATCTTCTCCTGGCTGGTGTCCGATCCTTCCAGACAAGAATGAGGGGAAAGGTCTGGGTCTACTTTTCCTCTCCGGGATTTGTCTTTCCAGACAGAGAGATTACCCCGACAACGCACTCGGAAAACAAGCTTTACAAATGGTGGTCTTTAAGTTTCAAGTTTCAATGTCACGTGCACAAGTCCAGTCAAATGCTTTTCTTGCAAGCTATAAACCCAATAATGCAGTAATCACTATCAATGTAGTAATAAAAATAACATAAGGTAGAACAAAAACACACAATAAATAAAAATAAGGTCTTAATAAGCCTTTGCTGTAAATGGTCTTGTGGCGTCACTGAAGTTAATGAGTGAATGGTTTGACTTCACTGGGCTTACGCCAAGGGGGTTTCAGAGTCTCCTCAGACCCAAACACAACGTCAGATTTCAGAACAAGGGAGCAGCAATGGAGCCTATAAACAGCTGAGACTAATTCACTTGAGACAGATTCAATTTCATGTCACAAGACTGACCAGAAAGTAAATTGTATGTAGCTATATCTTAATAATATTTTTACCCAACAGCAGCTGAGCATATAAGCAGATAACGTCAATGTACAGTATGGAAAAATCAACCCCTTACTCACCAAGATTGTAATCCCCCACAGTCAATAGTTGAACGCCCTACTCTTAATTACAGTCACGTCCACTGACCATGTAGAGTCAGCTGTGGTTTTATCTGGTGACAGTTTAAAAGCCCTACCATCATAGCTCAGATTCTGAAAGAAATCATCACAGCCTGTGAAAAAAAAAAAGAACTGCAGAATGCCCCCGCATTGTCTTCAGTCCAGCTATAGGACATCAGAACGTTTTATGGCCCTGAAATCTCACTTTATGCACTGGCAGACAGATCGATGTCTCATATGCTTAACCAAGTACCTTACACAGTCAGATCAATCTGGGCTGGAGAATGGCGCAATGCACTACATCTGTTATTGGAGCAATCTATTCTCTGAGGCGA